AACTGTTCTTGTGGGAAAGATTTGAGACCAGTGATCACGTGTCTAAATACAATGCCCTCCTAAATTTAAGTCGAATATCACAGTAAACATTCCGTTTTAACGAGTTTTTGGGGATGTCGGTTTAACTGGAAAACCCGTTATCCGGACTGGCCTCGGTCCCGAGGAGTCCGGATAAGAGGGAGTCTACTGTAAATTGAGCTCATCAAGCTATCAAGCTCAAAGACCTTTTCAAGAACAGAGAAGAAGTCCTCAAATAGTATAAAATACCCCCGCAGCAAACCTGCAGACTAAATAAAATTTCCATACACCTGGCTGGATTTCTACTAAATTATTTACTTAAATTTCTCACATCTATTTCCTATTTCAATAACATTAAGAATGTAAAATAAAAATTGGATCATTTTTACTCAAGCTAACGCGCTAAAGGACACATATATAAATATATACTATATTATATATAAATTTGAACGGAGGGTGTTTTTGGCCTTTGTGTACGTAAAAGTAAATCGATCCTGGATCCAGGTCTTACCATGAGGTAACACCTTATTCTCTATATGGGAAAATGCACAAAAAGCAGGAAGTAGATATCAAGACCTTACAAGTTAGTAAAATATCTTTAACTTTGTGTTTGTCTTTAATTATGTTGCTTTAATTTACTCTGCAGAAAGTTTTTCTCGAATAGACCTATAACTTTTTTAATTAGAGTTTGATAAAATATATCTATAAAGGTGGTCATCGAACCACTGGTCCATGGCATTGTCCATAACAATAATTGGTTATAGGCTAGACTTGAATCTGCACTTTACCTTAATACTCCATTTATACTTTCATGTGGAATGGTAGGAAAAAGTATATTTTACCATACCTTATTCAATGACAATATATGGTAGGTGCAATTTTCACTAACAGACCTCATTGTCTTTGGCCAAATCAATTGATCATCATACAAATAGTAGACCATGAGTCTGAGTGCTATAAGGCCATATCTTATTTAAATCATACATGTCATCGGTACAGAAAGTTTAGATTAGGTTATGGGTCTTGCTTGTTTGCAAGCTCATTCAAGGTTATCCTACCTTATACCTTCAAGCCAATTTCCATCACCAAAATTACTCAAGTTATCGTGTTCACGGACATATGATATACTATAGAAATTACTGTGATTACTGTAATTTATTTTAGTTGTAACTGCCTTGGATTTTTTGTAAAAAAAATTTTGGCCAAGTTGAAAAAATAATGTTAGCCGCCATTTTGCCAATATGGCCGCCAACTTAGATTTTTCTTATAGAATTCCCTATATTTAGAAAGTAAATGCAATTTAAAAACATTTTTTTCATGGCATTTTTTCTCTAAAGCTACTTGTTTAGGAGTAACAGCGTGTTAAAACTAAGAAAAAATTACTTACGGTGTACATTCTGCATCATGTAGCTAAAAAAACGAGTACGTTTAGAGTGAAAATACAAAGAGTAAAAAAGTCTTAAAATTGCATCTAGGTAATAAGACCATAACAAACACATTTTTTCTATTTTTTTATTTCCCTGCCATTTTGGAAAATGATGGCAATTTTTGAAACAATGGAGTCAATATTTCTTACATATGTTATGGTCATTTTAGAATCTAGATGCAATTTTAAGACTATTTTACTCCTTTTTAAAGAAAATTATTGCAACAAATCCAACTTTGATACAACAAATTTTCCAAAAGTTATGGCAAGAAGTTTTAGACGTTAATTTAACTGGAACTTGACAATTCAAAATCATGTTAAAAAGTGTGGCTATGTGTACTGAATATGCAGTGTGTGTTTAAAATACAGTATTTAAAAATTTACAGCCATGAAAGAAAATAAAAGTGATGGAATGTCAAGTTCCAGTTAAATTAACGTCTAAAATTTCTTGCCATAACTTTTTGAAAATTCGTCGTATCAAAGTCGGATTTGCGGCATTAATTTTCTTTTTCATAGCGCTTTAAAATGATTTGCTATTTGATAGGGGTTGCCATTTAAACATTTTAAGTTGCGACCCCTATTTGGGGGTGGGGGTTGAATTTCAAAATGCCACTAAAAAGTACTTCACATTACCCTAGTATCGAAGATCGAAGCTCGTTTGAATATATGATACTGTTCAAAAGTAAACCAGGGGAGGGGGTTTCTGGGGCACCCGGTATATTTGCCTCAGACACCATTGGGTTAGTTGGGTAGTGCCTTTTTAAATTACTTACTACACCTTTGGCTAATTCAAGTTTATAACACGTTTCTAAACGATAGTTCAGCATACCAAAGCAAGCAAATTTCAAGCTTATTTGCCATAAGAATAACATGGGGTGAAATTGGAAATTTTTTGGGAAGGGGGTCAACAATTGAGAATACGACTTTTCAGAATTTTCCTGTTGGTTTTAATCCCCGACCAAGAAGCGCACTAAATTTCAAGCCCGTTGCACATCTAGAAGTGATCTCTCAGCATTTCACAACCCCTTATCACATTTTTAGCAGGTATAACAAGCATTAATTTTTATATAGGTGGGCTTCTATATTTTTGTGAGTTGACAAATAAAGATTACGTTGAGATTAAAATATTTTTAGTGTTGAAACTTAGAGGCAACAATCCTGCTGCCTGTAAAGTATTTTGCCTGTCTATAATAATTTAGCCCAATGCACCTGAAGTGTTTTTGATACAGAAGTAGGGGGTTCTATTGGGGGGGGGGGGGGGTTAAATTTGGTATGCTTTTCTAAATTATTTTTTGGTTATAACTGAAGACTAATGACTGTGAAAGACTTCAAGTCATTAGCACAATGAAGGTGGTTTAAGAACTGTTAAGGGGTGGGTTGAATTATTTGTTGAGAGGGTGGATATTTTAAAATGCAAATTTCTTATATTTAGGGTATTATACATATTGGTGCTATTATACAGGGTGTTAAAAAAGTTGGGGACATATTTTTATTTTACCTAGTGACTCCTTGGGTCAAAATAAAGGGAAAATCAAGAATACAATTTTTCCAAAATAGCTTGGTTAACCAGATATCCGCCATTTTTTGCATAAAAATGTTTATTTTTTAATTTTTTCAATTGATCTTTATGAAACTTTGTAACGGGTCAAAAATTACCGTGGGGTAATATTTCACGCTCATCCTAAATACGTTGATTTGTTTCACGAAAAGGCAGCGACGAACGCTGGACCTAGTGACGTCATATGGAGGGGATGACGTAGTTCTCAACCCCGACTCCAGGGGCGGTAGGAGAGAACCGCTCAAGTAGCGCCCCGGTGCAGTCAGTCGTCCTTCAACCACGAAACCTTTGCTACAAAAAAATATATCTGGCAATAGCCGATATTAAAATCACGAGACGATACGAAAACTGGTAAGTGTTGAGCCACGCGTTAATGCTATATTTATTTGCCAGTACCATTTAATATAATTACTTATTTTAATCGGTCGATACAACGTGGTGTTTATAACACAAATTGAAATAATAAAACGGTTATAATGCTTGGTAACCACCAAAGCTTTGTGTAAGATAGAATCTACTCTTACTCGTGTGCGTAGAATCCTGCCTTGAACATGCGTAATCGACGAAATATGAAATATAACTTCAAATAATTATATTAAATGGTACTGGAAATGGTACTTGAAGGATGACTGACTGCCCCGGGGCGCTACTTGAGCGGTTCTCTCCTACCGCCCCTGGCGTCGGGGTTGAGAACTACGTCATCCCCTCCATATGACGTCACTAGGTCCAGCGTTCGTCGCTGCCTTTTCGTGAAACAAATCAACGTATTTAGGATGAGTTGATTATTTAGGATATTACCCCACAGTAATTTTTGACCTGTTACAAAGTTTCATAAAGATCAATTGAAAAAAGTTAGAAAAAGAAATCATTTTGATTCAACCTAAAATTTCAAAATGGCGGCCATTTAAAATTTGTAAACCTAAATTACTCAAAAATGGCTGATTTTATGAAAAAATTTTAAGAACACTTTTATTTATCATTTTTATTTATCTGTCAAACAATACCAAGTTCAAAAATATTGAATAAAACATAGCTGAAATATTATGATTTTTGGTTGTAAAATGGGGCAAACCAGCTTCTGCCTTATTGTACCCCATTTTACAACTAAAAAATCTTAATATTTCAGCTATTTATTTACCAATCTTTTTAAACTTGGTATCGTTTGATAGATGATTAAAAATCCTAAATAAAAATGTTGTTGACATTTTTTCATAAAATCAGCCATTTTTGAGTAATTTAGGTTTACAAACTTTAAATGGCTGCCATTTTGAAATTTTGGGTTTTTATCAAAATGATTTTTTTTCCTCACACAAGTCTCTTCTACTTTAACATACATACCAAGTTTCGTAAAGATCGGTTGAAAATGTTAAAAGATAAAAATGTTTATGTAAAAAATACAAAATGGCGGATATCTGATTAACAAAGCGACTTTGGAAAGAATTTTATTCTTGATTTTCTCTTTATTTTGACCTAAGGCAACTAGGTAAAATATGTCCCCACCTTTTTTTATCGCCCTGTATAGATATTATAAAGAGTGACTTCCAACCCTACTCAATGTTTCCAAATTGTCTGGACATATTTTGTAGACTTGTTCCTTGGGCTAAGACAAACATAAAATGCCTATGAGTATGGGTCTAAAATGCCTAGATTTCTAATTGTCGGCCTATTTGTGTTTTTTAAGAATTATTTTATATCTTGGGCATTTTTCAAGATAGAAATTTCAAAATTGGTATAAATGTATATTTTAGTAGGTAAAAAGAGCTCACAAAGTTTTGTTACAATATCTCAAGCCGTTTCAATATGGCAGCAATTTAAGTTCTTTAATGCCAAAATTTCATGAAAACCGATAATATTAAGACAATTGTTTTTCAGTTAAAAAAAGATAGAGAATTTAGTTCCAAACCAAATTAGACCTTGTTTGTTAAAATCGGATATTGTAAAAAAATACATTCTATCCAATACAGATAAGTTTTATTATTTTCCCCTTTAAATGATTAGGTAGTGGGAGATCCACTAAACCGTAACACTCAGCATGGACCTCAGAATCATTTGGCTCACTTGGAAAAGCTTGAGAAATACTGCAGAGCTGCAGAAAAGGAGGGAGCAAAACTAGTTTTTGGAGGGAAGCGTTGTGATCGACCAGGCTATTTCTTTCAGCCTACCATCTTTAGTGATGTTGAAGATCATATGTTTATTGCCAATGAGGAAGCCTTTGGCCCTATTATGGCTGTTTCTAAGTTTTCAAGCAGGTAGAAATTCAGCTTACTTTTTACCTTATTTTAGTTATTCGCCTTTGTCTTTTCATGTCTTTAATTTATCCTTCAAAATAGTGAAAGACAATGTATAAACTTTTATGACATAAAATTACATTGTAATTATGATAGATCTAAATCATTGGTGGACATAAATAAGACAAAAAAAATTTAATATTTATCCATTATATATCTACTTATTTATAATTCAGTTTTAAAAATCGTTGTACAACTAAATCTAGAGTTCCACTGGAACTGGAAAGTAAGTTTTTGACATGATTTATGGTAAACAAAATTTTAAACATGTTTTACATAAGAAATACATTGGAAACGGGGGTTTTCAAATTTTTTATTTTGATACAAATTTTGGCTGCCTTTTTGAGTATTTAAAAAAAATTGCACGGTATCAAATTGTAGGAAATTGTCTTCTCTTTTAGAATATCACCTTCCACTTTGGTCGATCTCCTCACCATTAAAAAGTTATTTGCAAAAAAGCTATGCAACCTCCGAATTTATAGTAGTGAGAAAATAGGTACTGAGTTACTGAGTGATATTTTTGTTAACATTTGGACAGCTAAATCTAGACTTCTACTGTGCCGATTTTGTCAATTAATGGGTCACTGGACAGACAGCTTAACTCATGTAGATTTGCTAATAATTATAAATGTGTGACTTAATTAAATATTTGTGGTGAAGAAGTAAAAATAAAATAAATACATTAAAAACTGCTTTTCCAAGTTTCTGTTTTCAAGTTTCAATTCGTAGCCAACTTTTGGCAGCCTTTTTAAGTATTTTCAAGAAATACATAGTATTAATTTGTAGGAAAATTTATTCTCTTTCAAAATATCACATCCACTTTGGTCGACTTTCTGACAATTTAAAAGCTATCGGCAAATGAACTAAGCGATTCCAAATTTACAGTTGTTAGAAAATACTGAATTAGAGATATTTTTGTTAAACTTTGTACAACCAAAGTAGATAGACTTCTACTGGGTTGATTTTGTTAACTAATATGGGTCTCTAGAAAGCTAATTTGTGTACATTTGCAAATAATTATGAAAGTTTTTTTTTTATGAATTTTGTTGAAAAATAAAACATGTTTTCCATAAGAAATCAATTGAAAACTTAGTTTTTTAAATTTTATTTTAGGCAACTTATGGCTGCCTTTTTTTGTTTTTTTCAAGATATGCATAGTACTAATTTGTAAGAAATAAATAAATGATATTCTCTTATAGAATATCACCTTCCACTCGATTTCCACAACATTTAAAAGTTATTTGCAAAATAGCTAATCGCCCTCCGCGGTCCTAAGTGGGGAGAAAATACTGAGTTAGAGATATTTTTTTAAACTTTGTACAACTAAATCTACAGTTCTACTGGATCGATTTTGTCAATAAATGTGTTGTTAAATAGCCTAATTTGTGTAGATTTGCAAATAATTAATTATGAAAGTTTTATTTTATTAAACATTTGTAGTGAAAGAGGAAAATACCCTCGCCGCAGCAAACCTGCAGACTAAGCGAATTTCCACTTGTCTGATTACATTTTTACTATAATATTTCCATAAATAAGACATATTTATTCCCAATTTAAATAGCATTAGATTTAATGAGTGCTTAGGTTTGCTGCAAAGGGGGAAGGTAAAAAGTGTTTTTTGACCAAACGTCAATAGTATAGTATGAAATAAATAAATTTGCCAATAGAAAATACTGAATTATAAATGTTTTTGTTATGCTTTGTAGAACTGAATCTACAGTTCTACTTGACAGATTTTATTAAATAATAGGTCAATGGAAAGCTTAATTCATGTAGATTTGTAAATAATTATGAATGTTTGATTTTTTTAAAGATTTATGGCAGTAATGGGTAAGTTTGCCGGTATGCATAATCCAATCATATGAAACTTGTGTTGATAATTTAACAGCTGATTGTTGTATTGTTATATCATAATTTTTTTCTTTGTTTGCATGTTGTTGTTCACAATTTGCATTTGTGGTTAAAGTGTGTTCCTTATGATATGTGTGTGTTTCTAAAGTTATGTGCTTAATCTGTACCATTAATATAAGTGAGTAAAGTGGTGTATGGATTTCATAACTGTTATTTTCCTAGAGACTAATTATATCCAAGTGACAATATTCTTAAGCAAGTAAACATTATTTTCTTAAAGTAGTATTAGGCTACAAAATATTTTTCAAGAAGTATTGGACAACAAAGCTAGGTTATTCATAACACCTAACATTCTGAATAACTGAAGCAATATGACCCAAACCCTATTTGGACTAAATTTCACCACATATCTATTGTATACCTGGTTTTAAAAGACCAAACAGCTTGAGGATTAAGTAAGTGATTTAATTTGAAAATTAAAATGATGAATTGTAGAATAAAGAGGATAGTAGCTAGCAGGGGCTATTTTAAGGGGGCCGGCTCACATCGACGAGTAAAGTGGTTCCACTGCCGTGTGGCTTTGACGTCACCGCACGGACTCCACGGGTCAAGCTAGTGTGCGGCCCATATACATACTGCTAGTTTACACGCTTCCCTACATTTACACAATTCAATTGTCCGTATGAAACTTATATCGTTGTAATCTGCATAAACTACAGAGTCTGATGGTCAAAAATTATTTTAGTTATGATCAACAATAATTTGTTTAAGCGAAAAAATGCTAAGTATTACAAACTTGTGAACTTCAAAAAGTCACTAAGGGAGGATTTATTTTTATTTTTAGATAGGAACAAACTTTGAGCGAGAAAATTTTTTATTCATAGTTCTACTTCCATAATTAGTATGAAAAATCTCAATAAACTCATAGGTCGTTTATTATTCATCACGAAGTGGCGAATGACACTACTTCACATTCCATCGTTCCATCGCTCATGCCCACACCATGTTGTTTGTAGCATGATATTCAAAAAATGTTAGTCTATTATGTTAAAGGATACGAATACATTATTTTTGACATTATTGTAAAAAATTATTATCTTAAAAATTGAGTAGAGTATAGGGTATAGGCTTAAAATATTACTTACCTTTTTTGGTATAGGCCTACTGCCTACTCCTTGTTATGCTCTCTAAATACACTTAATTGAGTCTCTGCTTCAAGGAATGTGTAATGGTTTTATTTTAGTAAAATAAAGAATTTATTGGTTCAAAATAGTAAATGGAATTTTTAATACGCTAGTTTGTGCACTAGTTATACTGTACCTAAAATATTTCGAGGTAAGCGGGAAAAATTGCCCGCCAGTGATCATTTGTAACAATTGTCTTCTGAGACAATTTTTCAATTAACTGTTGGAAGTGTGTAAAAATGCTAACTTAATTAATGTGTAAGAACTGATTGACTATAGTTTTCTCGCTGAAAGTTTGTTCCAAACCCAAAAATAAAAATATTCCTCGCTTAGTGATGTAACGGTCAAAAAAGAGACCCACCTTATTCATATTTTGTTGACCTTATTCAGAATTATAGAAATATTAAACAAGGAGAGAGGATTATTTTTATTTATTTATTGGAATTATTAAAATTTTCAAAACCCCCTTTTCAGGGATGATGCAGTGCCGACAAAGTTTTTACCACAATCACAATCAGAGTACAAATTAATCAGATACCCTGAAATATACGTGATAATAATAATCAAATGTATTAATGTAATGACATTAATAGAGTAAAATATTTGATTTCTTTCCCTAGGCTAGTAGAAGGCAATGAAATCAGGTTCGAAGAACCAATGTTGTTAATCGATCATGATTGAGTTAGAACAAAAAAATTATTAAATTGTTTTGTTAGATAGTTAATATGAAATCTATGGCAAATAGAAATATGATTTATACTGATTTTTAATGGTTTTTGAGATAGAAAAATGCTTTCACCGACCTTCGTTGATATTGTGGAGGTGTAGATCGGCGGCGTCTGGCTGGGGTACCCCATCTTCATTGCTGTTGGTCGGCCATGATGGCGTCTCTATCCTGTCCAGTATTGTACACTTGCACTGTCACTTATTAAAAGTTTAAAGAACACAAACTAAAAAGTATCTCTCTCAAAATAATCAGTAAAATAAAGATGCCTTTCGATAAAATCTTTGCCAGGGCAAATAAAAGTTACTAGTTTAGAGTTTATAATTATTGTGGGTAGCGTAATGCTGGATGATGTAATCGTAATGATGAACGGCAGTGGACTGTGTCTGAGCTGCGGTGGGTCTGTGTGTGTGGTGGACACTCGATAAGAGAGTACAAAGGTCAAGAAAGAATTGGTTCCTAACACCCAGTGCCAGTTCATCGACCTTATTCGCCATTGGCGATCAAAACACAATCGACGTTAACCCTCAGTTTTAATAGTTTTGGGAACCAGGGTCGCTCCCCTGACACCCAGTGCCAGTTCACCAACTTTATTCGCCGTTGGCGATCGAAACACAATCTCTGGATGTAAATTGTAAACTGTCAGCTTCAGTCGTTTCGGGAACTAGGGTCGCTCCTCTACAACCCAGTACCAGTTGATCAACTTTGTTAGGAGTTAGGAATCAAGGTACAATCGCTTGAAGTCAACTCTCACCTTCTGTCGTTTTGGCAACTAGGGTGCTCCCTTACAACCCAGTACCAGTTGATCAACTTTGTTAGGAGTTAGGAATCAAGGTACAATCGCTTGAAGTCAACTCTCACCTTCTGTCGTTTTGGCAACTAGGGCGCTCCCTTACAACCCAGTACCAGTTGATCAACTTTGTTAGGAGTTAGGAATCAAGGTACAATCGCTTGAAGTCAACTCTCACCTTCTGTCGTTTTGGCAACTAGGGTGCTCCCTTACAACCCAGTACCAGTTGATCAACTTTGTTAGGAGTTAGGAATCAAGGTACAATTGCTTGAAGTCAACTCTCACCTTCAGTCGTTTTGGCAACTAGGGCGCTCCCTTACAACCTAGTACCAATTGATCGACTTTGTTAGAAGTTAGTGATCACAGTACAATCGCTCGACGTTGACTTTCAATTTTGTTTGTTTCGGAGAACCAGGGTTGCTCCCCTGACACCCAGAAGGTAGGAGTTGGTGATGATGAGCCTTACAGAATAAACCTTTGAGCTTTGAGTCTGGATGGAGTTCTGAGCCTTCTCCTACAAACAAAAACTCTCGCGACCGTGTTTAGGTAAAAACAAATTTCAATTGACCCTTGGAAATTTGGGACCCCTCGCGGACTGAACTATTTAGAGCAACACAGTCTCAGTGAATTTTCATTATTCTAGCTCCTCTACGTTTGTTGCTTAACTATAAAACCAATTGACTTGTCTCAAACTAAAAACTGTTTAGATATTAAAATTCTCCAATTAGTGCAGAATAAAACGATGTAAGATTCATATTAAAAATATAATCGTACAAAGGTAGGGAAGCGTGTAAAATAGCAAGATTTTCACTGGCCGCTTAATGGCAATTGGCTCGACTGTCCTCGCAGTGACGTCACAGGGAGGGGGGAACGGGACCATGTCGGCAATTGCTACATCAAAGACGTGAGCCAGCCCCTGTATTCTATAGCCCCAGCAGCTAGCTTACTTTGAAGTGTAGGTAGGCCATCAAACAATATTTTGTCCCCTGGAAGACTTTGTCAAGAGTAGAAAAAGTTGTAAAGAGTTAACCACTTTCTCTACACTTATTAAAGTCCCTCAGGGGGCGAAATATTGTGTTTATAGTGTCTCTTCTCTATGTTCTATGGCCTACCTACACTTCTTCAAGGTAAGCGAACTACTATCCTCCTTACTAAAATAATTCAAAATCCTGACTTAGACCCTTTCCTTGAACAAAACTAACCTTGAAGTAAAATATGTTAAAATTTGTTAACAAATTTAAAATATTGCCTTTATGCATTGTACAAATGAATATAAATTTATTTTCTGTTTCAAACTTTCTAAAAAATAATGCTACTTTTCCAAAAAATATTTTGTAGACTCTAGTTTTAACTGTAGGATTTAATAATAAATCTTTATTTCAAAGTTAGTTATGTTATAAGGTATTTAACGGAGGTGATCATAGTTTATTTTAATTTTTTTTCACAGTGATATGGATTCCTTAATTAAGAGATTGAATAGCATAGAGTATGGCCTGGCATCAGGCATATTTACAAGGGACATCAATCGTGCTTTAAACTTTGCTGAGAGGATTGAGGCTGGATCAGTCTTCATCAACACTTACAACAACACTGATGTGGCTGCTCCCTTTGGTGGCTTCAAACAATCTGGCTTCGGGAAAGATCTTGGTATGTAACATACAACTTTCTTGGAGGAAAAGGAATCAATTTTTAAAAATCTTCTGTCTATTAAAGGTTATTTTAAAACACACCTGTTAAAAATAGAGAGTATTTGATAAAAATTAAACAAACGATATTACAAATTTTATGATTTAAAAAAATGTTATCTTCTGAGTGTGTCTCATGTCGTCAATTTACAATTAACATGGGTTTTCAAGATGTCAGCTACTCCAAAGGGAAATGTTTTTGGTCTTTCTACGACAGATCTAAACCATCTCAAAATATTATGCAGAAGTCTACAGTTGCTCGCTAATTATTCGAGAAATCCCAGGTTGTTAAAAATACGTTAAAAATACGTTCATATAGCTCTGTACTAATTTTATTTTTAAATTTAAGCTATATTGCAAAAAAGGGCTAAAAATCATTTTAAGTTTTGTAATTTTACTAAATGTAATAGGAGTGAGTTTTTACTTAGTACCTGCAGAGCTACCTGGTTGGTATGCCTGCTTTTGTCCACTCCAACCAAGGTTCTGTTTTCATGTCAAAAGAACTGAGTGATTTCTTACACTCAAAAGGAATCTCCACTAGCCGATCTTCACTTTATAACCCTCCAGGTAATTCTCAAGCTGAGCGATGTTTTCTATTTTGCAATATATTTAGAAATATAGTTTGAAAGTTTGTTACAGTTTTAATTTGGTTGTTACTAAAATGTATTCTAGTTTTGAATGGTGAAAAGTTTATGTTCAATTTTTTACAATACTTCTGACATATGTTTCCTTTTGTTTAGGAGAGGAAGCCTTGAATGAGTACACAAAAGTCAAGTGTATTACCGTGGAGTACTAGTAGTACCGGCTGAAAAAAATTACTATAATGAAATCTCAGATCAGAAATTTTATGGTTTATCCATGCAATTCGGACAGAGTAGGTATAACAATTGCCTTGATTACTGGTTTGATTCTGAGAAATGGTTCTGGGCCCACTTTCCTTTCTTTTGTTATTTAGATATTAATTAATGATGCTTTTTAGTAACAGATACCAGTTTCAAAATCTAGTTTTAATAGAGTCTAGTTTTGACCTTCCCTTACAAAAAACATAAATTATGCAAATGGCATTAGAAAAAATAGTAAAAAAAAGTAGTTAATAAGTAGGCCTAGCTGTATGAAATTACTTAAAACTATGATTTTCAGAAGATCTGAATAAAATACACTTTAGTTGACCCTCAATTCTTAACACTCTAAAACAATGTATTAATTCTGTATTTATATTTAGATTGTTGTTAAGCTTCATTACATTGATAAATATTGATTTAATAATAGATCTTTGGCAATGTTTATTAATATTATTTACTGATAAAAACAAAGTGCCTTTAACACATTCGCTGCGTCCCATCAATGGCAGGCGTAGCCCTGGTGTATCGAACGAGCCCGATTGCCGGGCAATTGGCTTTCAAATATTTCGGTCTGTCGAATAGCAAATAATGTGCGCTTATATGCTGCGTTACGACTAGAGTCACTAGTTTGCTGAAACACTCACATATAGCAGCCCTGCCAGGTTCCACTGTATTGCCAATTGGAGGGAGAAAAACGGGACAGGTTGATTTCTAAGCTTACAGGGATTTTACAGGGGAATTCACTACCAACCTACACCACAATTATAGACTGGAATTAGAAACACAATACTAATGCTTACTAGCCTACCACGGTTAGATCCTGAGCCATACTAACTGGGCAAACAATACATCGTGCGCTGTATCTCCGGAGACGCTGGATGTTTTTTTAGTTTTCAACAATGCGCCTACGGAATTTATGTGTCGTTCCACGATCTCGTAATTAGTTGTGACGTTCTGCTATCCCAGTGACTAACGCAATAACGGTCAACAGATGTAATGTATATATTGAAGTTTATTGTAGAAATTTTCAATATAGATTGCTCATCCACATGAAAAGGTTTGTAAGGTAAATTAATAATGATGTCTACCGAAAACAAATTGACTTTACAACTTAATTAATCGTAGCAAAACTAAAAATATTTGTAGGCTTCTAGATTTTATTTTTTTAGCCTCTTGAACAAATGAAACACCTCGAGCAATGCTCCGTCCCCTGGTAGTGGTACTTTAAATACACTAAGCTTAGCTGCAAACTAAGTAATTAAATTCAAATTTGATTATTTATAAAATAAATGTTTTGGAAAGAAACATAATAATTGTAATAATGTTTTAAGCTTTATGAATGTACTATGATCTAGTGTAGTTATTCATTTTATTTTATTGTTAATAAAAGGATCAGGGTAAAATAGGTGTACGTACAATGCAGTTTCCTGCTTGCAATATTGAGCGGAGCTAGCATATTAATCCAAAACTTTTCTAAAGGCAATGCTACATCTGTTTCTCGTAAATGGCATGTATACTTGCAGTATACAATGTCAATGGTGTATTTGGTTCACATTAATGGAGTAATGTCTATTAACAATACCCGAAGTCAATTATAAGACTGGTTTACGTAAATAAATTGTCTACTTTCAGAAACCAAAGTCTAAGTTTCATCTGGTTCTTATAAATTACATGTCTACTTGCCGTATCCAATTTCAATGATATATTTGGTTTGCATAGATAGAATGTCTATTTTCACTTTTCAGTATCCAAAGCCAATGGTAGGTTGGTTACTATGACTGTGCTAAATTTTGTGCAGATCGCTTCAGCTGTTCAGGAGGAGTATTTGTAAACAAAAGCAGAAGTGTAGTATAAGAGCTTCGCTCCGCTCAATAATATATTATCAGTTACTTTAAATGTTTAAATCTATTATAATTTTTAACAGTTGTTATTGTATTTTTGTTACTTAAGTGTAAAATAATTCTTTTAAGTGAGATGCATTAATTTATGATTCATAGTCGTGTGTTTTATTAGCATTATATTATATACAGGGTGATTAAAAAAAGAGTAGGCAGCACAATTTTAAAAATCTGTGTTCGATCAAAGAACCACCAATTCTTACACATGATAATAAAGAGTTACAAAAAGTTTTTACCACATAAACAAGCTCGCAAATGTTCAATATGTCTGCTTCCTGACTCATAATAACCCGATCTCAACTCCATCCACATTCTCAGTAGAAAGAGACAAATCGTTTATCTCGAAGGTTGTTTTTGGTGAAGAAGCCACTTTTCATACTTCTGAGAAAGTATCTCCTAAGGTAAACATTTTCTGTACCATTTCAGCCATTAAAGTTTTGTGATTTTGGAGAATTTACTGTTTTGTAATAGAAACGTTCTATATTCTCTTTAGAATAATGTAAAAACATCTGGTTCTGTTATGTTTTATTTAATAATTAATTACAGCTTTTTAAAATGTGTGATATTGATTTTATCACTCTGTATTGAATATGGCTTTATTTATTGTGTTTTATTTAATGTTTGTGTTTTTGTTTCCTCTTTAAAGTATACTGTATCACTGTATCAGGGTACCCACAATCACTGTGAAAAAATTTGAAAACGAGCTGTGAATTTTGCAACTGAAAAAACCTGGATTGAACTGTGGAATTTGGAGTTTAGTTCTTGAATAAAGATGGGCCAATTCTGATTCTGATTACTTTTGATACTGGTGAAATTATCGATTGTAAATATTTTGTGACTTTGTATTCAATACTAGAACTGTCCCATGCGATCAACGATCAAGGCAACAGCATAGGCAACTCTCGTGATCACGGCAATAAAGATCATCTCCTGCTATCATGGTTATATGGTGATCTTTGATCGTGTAAACTCTGCATACAGCATCCGTGTTCAGTTTAATGTACTTGAATTCCTGTCAACGAATAAAAAAAATTATTCAAACAAAACTTTTTGAATTTTTACATCTTCAAAATTTTTATCTTTTAATATTTAGATAAATTTTGAATTAATCTTTAATTATTGCTATAATGAAGAAAACCATGGAATTAATCTTTCAAAATTTTTCTGTGAATAATTAAATACTTCTTCCTAGTAATTTTAAACTGGTTTGTTTTTTATTCAGTATCTTAACGTCAGGAATCCGAACCACATGGAATCGGGCTTACGGTTGTTGACTGCATGAGGCAACATCACTGCCATTAATGTAACCTATTAATAATGCCTTATTTGCTTATCCAAAGACTGCTTTATGGTGTGATGCCACCTTAAATCTGCTTGTACCTGGCCCAAGCCATCAACGTAAAAAATAACAAATATGACTCTGAAAACCCTTGATTCAACTTACAAGTTAGAGTGGGGACCCTGAGTATGAACTTTATTGTTAGTTTCCTCTTGTTAGGGTTTAACTCTAATTTTTGTACTGTGGTATACACACAAGATTTGGTAAATTTCTAGATTACGGCCACATGAGATTTTTAAGTAAATTTGACTAAAATGCTTAAATAAGACGTAAATTGCATATTGCAACTAAAATAAATATTGGGATATCATTTTTAACCCATCCTAACCCCTTACCATCTAGGGGACTGGTGGGGATTGGGGTTTTGGGTGGGGGAAATCCTGATCTGAGGGAAATTATTTTAAGGGGAAAAAGGCCTAAAATACATGGTGCACTCAACTAAAAAAACTGGTCCTCATCTGTTAAAACATAATCTAACCTAACAAACTTCTAACTCTTAGCAAATTCCTTTTGGTGCCAGAAAAGGCATGTTTGAATGGGAGGTCGTCCTTTATGTTAATTCGTGACTATTAAGTCCTTTGAAGGTAGGTAGATTAGGAAGGTAAAGTTAAGGTTACAAAGAACCAAAACTTTACCTTCCTAATCTAATCTACCTTCAAAGGACTTAATACAGTCCCGAATCAACATAAAGAACGGCCTCCCATCCTAACATGCCTAAATAAGGACTAAATGTAAGTGCTCGGTCATGAATGGTTTTGCAAGGGATTTTTGTATTATGACAAATAAAAGTGTTTTTTGTCATGAAAATTTCAATGATACATATGACTTTCCTTGTTATGCAATTAAAAAATCTAAGGTATGTGTTTTTTCCAATTTTTATTTTTTAATAACAACCTCCAACCAATAGCCATTCTATCAAAATTTATTTTTTACAATGAGGTTTTTTCCTTTAAACCTATGCATTCCATAAACTGTGATTTTATTTTATATATTTATGGAAATACTTGAATCCCAAATGTTAAATTTGATGTGATATTGATTTAGTTGAAGTTGATAGTACATTATTTGTTCATAAGTAATTTTGTTTACTTGGGATCAAATGGCTTTTATTTTTAGGAAATGTTTTGAAATGAAGTTAATCTGTCATTTTAGACTTTGTTTAAGAACCCACACTTGGCACACAAATACATAATTATAATTAGGATTTTAATAGCTACCCTTATCCAGGTCACAAATTAAATGATATCATTAATAGTGGTTTAACATAGTTCTAAATATTTTGAATAACACAATCTCACCTAATTGTAATGCATGATAAATTAGTTATATTTTTTATAAACATATTGATACAATGTATGGTTGCTCAAATTGTATTGTGTTGTTTATCACAACTAGTCATTTTAAATCTGTATCTGTTATGTGTGTTTAGTAGGATCTTTGACCTAATGTACTTACTAATTGACAGCAAGTATATTAATTACAAAAGCCTTACTACAGATAGATGTTTTATTTTATTTTGTTTTTATACTTGTATAATAAACTTATGTTCAACAATAACTCATCGTGATATTATTCTAAACACCTGTCTGTTTCATTTTGTTACCCAATTCTTTTAATACTATACTTAAAGTTGTACCTCCTCTTTGTTTATTTCATGTTTAGTTCAAAACTTCATAAGTACAAACGGTATCTGTGCCTTTCGCTTGTATTACATTTGAAGTTCATAAAATGTCCATGGTAACATGGTAAAGATATTTAGCAATATCTTTGGTGATTTTTTATTAATAGAGCATCTTTGATGGAAAAACACAAAATTTTGTCACGACCATCACGGACATAAAACTGAATATTAAAAACAGTTAATATTATTTTAATAACTATGTTTTGTGCTATAAATTAATTTACTTTTAGGGCCATTATACAATAAACAGCTCACTAAGCTTTTGGTATATTTGGTCTTTCTAGAAAAAAATAAAAAAAACTAAAAAAAGCCAATAAAATCTTTTTAAGTTTGTATAACTCCGAAAAAACTTACCTGAGACCCGAAAAATCGTTGTATTTTTATAGAGGTGTGCTTCTTTTGTGTATAAAGCATTTAAATATGATGATATTTTAATTTTTGAAATTTATATGATAGAAATCATAAACGTGATGGTCAGGGACCAGCGGTACGTACGGTTGTGAATTGTCTGGAATAATTTGAATCTTTCTAAACAATCCTTTAATTACCTATACTGTTAGTTATAATAAAAATATGTGTTTCAATTTAACTAAACTGTTCAATTTACAATGATATTTAAGTTATTGTTACGACCAAACACAGTATAATCCATAAGGCTGGATTGGTCGTGAAAAAAAACCTGTGATGGTCGTGAAACTTTTTTTTTTTTTTTTAAATAGGTTGGCGGCCTCTTTTTTTTTGGTCATGACATTACGTGTTATTTGGCTCTGTTTTCTAGGTTAATCTAGCAATTTAAATATCTTATAAACAAAAATTAACACCATGTCTACTTCATCAAATGACTACGATGAATGGTAATATGACTATGATTTGGTTGTCATGGACACACCAAAGTTACAAAAAACACAAACTTGCCTTTATTAATCTTGTAATTCCTCCTTTCAACTCGAAACTACCGGCACTACAATCCTGACGTACACCCCGAACTAGTCTCTAAAACCAACTGACTCCATCGACGCCAGGCTTGCCACTGTCGTGCTCCAAAGTTGCAAATTTTTCCCTAATGGTCGTGACGTCAAATCAAGGGACAGACCTATTTAGTCATGGTAGTCAGTTTACAATGAAAACAAAATTATCATATGCTCCTTTTTCGTAAGTTTAATAACTATTGATGTAATAAAAATATGACATGATATATTTCGTTCGGCATGAATAATTATTCTAAAAACAGCATGAAAGTTGCAAAATGTACCCTAGAGAAACGTGACGGTCATGAGTTTTGAGACTTTAAAAATACGAAAAAAAAGTACCTAGAACCTATTTAAAGCCAAATAATTGTGTGTAACATGTTGCCCCCGCCCCAAAAAATATTAAAACATATAATGATAAACTACATATTCAGTATCTACGAAGTAAAAGGCCAGGGACATAAAAACGTGTTTCAAAATTTTACTCTTATGTGTAAAGGTAACACGCAATGCATATGAGGTGAAATTATCATACAGTTAAGTCCCACTATTCCTAACCCCGCTGTTTTGAAAATATGGAAAAATCTGCCAATTCTGAACTTAAGTTCAACAACTTTTATAATTTTTAAATGTTAGTAAGAATCTAACTTGAAATTGACAACATCTTCTGAAGTAATGATGGAAACAACATCATCTTCCTTGGTTGCAGTGACATCATCATCGTTTCTGCGGTCAGAGCAAAACCGTTTACATCATCTGTGATTTTGATGACCAGTTATTATCAAAATCTGCTTATTCCAAAATCCAAACTTCCACTAATCCAAACAGGGGTTGGTCCCAGATAGTTGGGACTAAAGGGACACTACTGTACTGCAATGTCAGTGGAAATTTGTACAGTTAATCTTTCACTTTTAATGGATTTAATTTAACAAAATAAGAAGTATTCTGATCATGAAAAGTACTATACCTAGGAAACTAATACATTTTTTTTTTAATCCTTTAAACTACAGTTAGTGCACATTCCAGAATGAAATTTCAAGTTTTTATTTTTATTTAAAATATTACGAATGAATATGCGCACCACAAGTAAATTACATGTAGTGGGGCTGAGTTAAGAATGTATTACCTTTAGAATCTTAGCGAGAGGGCTCTACTGATTTATTATAGTATAAAATTCATAGAATCAGTGCTAGCAAAAATTTAATTTGAAGTCAAAAGGCATATTTAGACATTAATAATTATTTAATTAAGGATGGTGTAAGCGTAAACACCAAATAAAAGACAATTTTATTGGGTAATATTGTGTACTTACAAACACGTTAAAAATAGTATATTTCAGTCAATCTTAGAGGTTGATACTTTCAAAAACAACTTTTTATCCCTCAGTAAATTACTGTATCTTATCTTGTCTTTGGTGAAATATATAGTAAAAAAAACTTAACTACTGTACTGATTACCATGAAAAGGAATAGAAAACTACAAATGTTGGCACAAAATAACTGAGTTTTATTACATGTTGTACAACAGTGCATAGAATAATCAGGGAACAGAGCCCAGTTCTAGCGTGTATTAGGTGCACACATAATATTAAGGTGTGAAGAGAGGATACAGAGTGACGGGTAAACTTAATGTGTAACGGTGTACATACTAACAATAACTAACATTAGCAAAGCAGTAAAAAAATGTTTGATCGTGAAACAGAGCTTGGATAAATACATAACAAACCAGAATGGCAACCCGGTTAGAATGACTCGAGATGGTCGTTAATGAAGCTCTAGAAGTTTTTGGGATTCACAGATTACCTCAATTTTTTTACTGAGTGATGTCCTCATCACATAAATGCTTGGTGATGTTGCATTGTTAATAAGCAATACTTGGGACGGAGGGATCACAATATTCACAATGAATCATATTCATTTCTATCATTGTGGAAGCTAGTACAATAAATATCTATAATTTATCTATAAAAATGAATCCATCAGTTAATATGTTTTATCATATATAATAGGTCAAACATTATTCTGTGCTACATATTGTCAAGATGACCAGATCTAAAAAGAATATAATAAACATGAAATAAATCAGTTAATTTTCAGGTTAAAAATAGAATAACTTGTTCCTTTTAAAAAACGGGTTTTTTATATTAGAGCCACATAATTCAAAGTTTTCAAATGTGTTTTTGTGACAAAACATATTGTGTGTATAACATACTATAAATAGTATAAATAAATAAATATATATATATATATGTTGTACATACAACATTTTAAATTTATACCATTCATAGGAATAACATTGAGTAAACCAAGAAATGTGAATTACATTTTTAGAAAATGTGAAATGGTTTTAAATTAAAGTTTAGTAAATATAAGAAAATAATAAATGGTGTAAGATAAACAATATTAAATACTGGAATTTTGATTGGGCTCTCTAGTTATTGGAATCAGTCCATTAAATAAGATAAATAAAAAAAAAACAAAGGTAATAATTCACACTACCTAAGAACACTATACTTAAAGATGTCTAAACAAATGCTGCTCTATCAACTCTCAAAATTTCAGGATCTCATCATAAATACACTTTTGCCCACTAAAATCCCATCTATGTAATCAAACTCACAAGATAAAAAACTGCTAATTGTTTAATTAGTAATGAAATTACAAATTAACAATGCATCCACTTAAATCAATGAATACAAACCCTTAAAGAAGCGAAATGCTTATGGAGAATATTTAAACTGGAATTTTGCCACCAAAATGAACCTTGAGCGGCCGCCGCTACAATCGCTCGGGTGGCCGCCACGCTACTCTCTCCCTATAAGCCAATTCTTTGTCTCACTCGACTTGGCCTCACGCTTGCAATACCTAGCGGCCGCAGCAAGAACTATGAAAAATTAAAAATTTTCAGATTGAATTTTTTACAAAGGCATTGCGCTTATTAAAGGGTTTGTATTCATTGCTTGGATCATAAAACAATGCTTAGCCTTCAAACTATTATTTAGTTTTTTTTAACATGGTTAGATTATTCAAGCATATATTTAAGTTTGATGTTGAATTAAAGATGAGTGGGTTAGTGGCTAAGGCTATAGATTAAATTAAATTTAAATAAACAATATAACAACAAACTCAACAGTAAAATACATAAATTTACAAAATCTTGGTAACTTAACACAAATTACAAAAAAATAAATTTAATACTAATAAAAATACTTTTAAATTGCTCTTTTAAAATACTTTTCTATATACTCTGATAAAGCTTAATATAATAATAAAATATCTATGATTATTGATTATATCGAGGACGGTTTAAAGTGATGTGATTTGTCACTGTGATGACTAATGATTGTTTTATTTACAAAAATAATAAGTTATATTTCGGGTCTAATAACAAAACCCTCTTACGGGATCTCAAATATTGAGAATTATAATTTTTATTTGTATGGATTTAACACGAGTAAAGGTAATTTCATAATAAATTACTGTCTTTTATACCACATTGTAGATATATCGCAGATTTACTTGTTCGGCAAGGTCTCTTAGTTTCTTACCAATAAAAAAAAAAAAAATTGAAAATAATTCTTCAAGAATCTCTACCAAATAACAACGCAAGGAGTGTAGGCGGCAATGCAGACTTTTACCAAACTTAACAGGTTAAAAACTCAAAGAACTTGGGATGCCGCTAATCCAGCCGGTATAGTTTTATATAAAATAGTGACTTAATATTTTAAAATATTCCACAAAAGATTACTGGTGCATCCCATAAAAATATACAAGTTAAATACAAGACATACAGGACCATAAAAGTACCCAGTCTAGCTTCTAGATAATAACTGAAGAACTTGGCAGGTTAATGGATGTACATAATGTTGCTTCTCTAGAAAAAAATAGAAATAAGGAAATGGAATTTTTTTCAATATTATAGATTTACTGCGGGGTCAATTTCAAATACCTAACAGACAACTGAATTAGGTAAAAATCAACTGTAGCATTGAGATATGCTCAGGATAGTCAGCTCCATAGAAAATTAGCTTTCAGCCCCTTAAGGAGAGTCGCTACTGAAACTAGTGATTTAAAAAAAAATCCTTTTAAAAATTATCATATATAATTTTATAGGTTCATTTAGTCTTAGAAAAAGGTTTACTGCTGTTAAAGTAAAAACATATTTTTTACATACTTTTTGGGGTTTTTCAGGGGGAAAATTGGGTTTATTAAATCTCTTGTAGCTTTTAACTACCAGTACTGAACCAATTTTATTGTTTTAAGAAGTACTAACTATTTGTGTATACTCATGTTTTTTTCTCAATTAGGTTATGTGTTATGGCTTCATAAATAACTAAAAAAAATGCCTATGTAATTAATCTTTTTAATTTTTGTATGTATTTTTGTATGTTTTTGTATGTTATTTAATATATCTCAGTATCCATGCAGAAGAGTAGATTTATAGTACATATAAACAATGTGTGGTAAAAATTCCAATCATATGGCTAGCTTTAATAGTTAAAAAGTTATAAGAACTTATATGTAAAAAATAATGTAAAATTTTAAAGTTGCGGAAAACAGCGGTTGAAGTTTATACTAGTTACTCAGTAACTAAAGAAACAGGTGCGCACGCTCCACTTCAAATATTTTTTCAAAGAGATAAAAATATACATCATACCATATGTCTTGTTTTTCTTATACACAACATAGAACAAGAAAAAACATATAAAATTAAAAATAATGTTGGTCATTCTCACTAGCGACTCCCCTGAACCACATGGATCTGCAATGTGGTAATAAAGATAAATAGAAGGTATTGGTATTCGTACCCCTTCTTCAATGTAACCTAAAATTGTTTTAATTTTGTAATAAATATCACCTTAATGCAATTAACTAGATAAAATATAATAGGCTCCCTTATCTTTACCTACCTATATTGATATTTGGGAAACATGTAAAATCTACTTCTTGAGAATAACAACAGCTCTATACTGCGAGAATAAAGCACAATTACTAAGCATTTTAGATGAGGTGATGAGTTATTCCTTAAGTAAGTACAGTACATAAATGGCACAAGTAGGTACCCACTATGTAGAACATTAAGTTGGTGAATGTTGAATGATGAACTGTTACATTAATTTAATCCTGGCTTACTTTTATATAGTAGTAAACTAGTTTGATTTTAAAAGCTGTTAAATTAAGAGTTTAAACTAATTGTCATTGAGCAAAATAACACAACACATAGAGTTATAATAGTTGGTGAACTTAATGAGTATATAATAAAAGAATTATATTTTAAACTATATAACTAGCCATCAGGCTAAACAGTGTGATGTCTATATTTAGCAGTTTATGACTACATATTTTTTAAGGAAACTGGTATTATTTAAAACCAACAACAACAGTGTTATAAATGGTGTTATCAAAGTGAGCTTACAAAAAATACTATATCGAATACCATTAGTAAGGCAAATCACTTGACCATACAGAGGGTATATCTCTTCATTACAGTACACGAACAGCAAATATCACAACTTTTACAGAGATGGGATTAATTCATCTAACGTTAATTAGAAATTTAATATAAGATATATATAATTTCCACACAAACAAAGACTTTAAAAGTAAGCCAGGGTGTTCTAAAAGTAATAACATTGTGGAGTGAAATGTTATTTGTTATAAGGTTTCAAAAATTATACTAAACACAAAACACCAGTGAACTGCATAGATTAACAACTTTCCAATGAATATATGGTACATTCATCAATATTCAATGTAGGAATTACAAAACCAACGTTTCATGACAAAAGAGATGATAATATAAAAAACATAAAACTAGCAACTTTGATCAGCTCAGATGTTTACAAGTTGGTAGAGGCGGTTTGTTCGTAGAATAATACGTAAGCATCCCTCTTGGGCATGTTTTCTCCTGACATTGGGAGCACACTGAAAACACAAACTTATTAATAACCCTATTAGACCCTACAGTACAGTCTTGATTATCCCACTTTCTTTTGTTATTGGGCGCTTTCTGTGGACAACCGAGCTTAATGATCACAAGCTATTTCCATGTGGAGGGCTTCAAAACAACCCCTTTTGTCACATGTCTTTCTTAAATACTATGTATAGTTACACGTGTAAACAAATGTATGAAATAAGTATTCAATGTCAACTAATAATATGCAGCACATAGTATGTTTTTGTTATATTTAAGGTATATTGAATGGATTTACTAACACAGATTTACAATAGCATTATCATAGTCTGTAGCTGTACACAAATTTTACAGAAATCTTAACATATATAATTAATAATATTGGTTTTATAAACAAAAAAACAAACAAAAAAACTTTCATTTTCAATAGAAACAAATCAATACATTGATCCCCAGCATTTTTAGGGATCAACCGCTATCTCTAAAAATGTTGTGACATTTATAGTATTTATTTCACTATTATTAATGGTTATACTTATGGTAGGTTTTTCTTTGCTCTGTGCCATTGAAAAAAACATTTTATTGGTTTTCTCCGCGTTCAAAAATAAACAATTTCTAGTGAATTAAGATTTGATATTTTTTATCTGTTCCTTACATGATATTTCAAGACCTCGATATGTTTTGGATGTTGTTATTAGATTCGAATCATCAGCATAGAGAACCAAATTGCTGTGTGTGTCATTAGTATTATTTATAGAGAGGTTTCCCTGGACATAGCACAGAAACAACAATGACCCAAGAATTGATCCCTGAGGGACACCATGTTTAATTTCCATTATATTTGAATTGTGATTTAAAACTTGGTTGTCTTTGATTGATGTAATTTCCACATAGGCCTACTGTTTTCTGTTTAATAGAAGATATGATTCAAACCATTTTAATTGCAAGTTAGGCAAACCTAGATTTTTTTAATTTATGTAAAAGAATTTTGTGTGAGGTACTGTCAAACGCTTTTGTGAGGTCTATAAAAATACCAACTACTTTATTTCTTTTCTCAACCGTAAAGTCTACCAAAGCAGTGGTTACCGATTTTCTCTTGCGAAAACCATGTTGCTGATCATCAAATAATTATTTTTTAACAGGTGACCCACCAAGCGATTGTAATCACCCTCTCATATTTTTTAAATTGAAGGCAATAAAGAAACAGGCTGATAATAGTTTACTTCAAATTTATCTCCTTTTTTGTAAATTGGTACAACCTTGGAAATATTTAAATTGTTAGGAAAAATTCCAGTTATTAAAGAGCTATTAATTAAATGCACTAAGGGTTTTAGTAATGACTCCCCTCCATGTTTGATTAGTTTCAAGGGAACCTAATCATGACCACTAGAATGTTTATTTTTAAGGGACAAGATGATGTGTTTTATCTCTTTCTCATCGACTGGGGTGCATTGAAATCTATATTTAATTTCATTTTGGAGAGCATCAGGTATTTGTGCTGGCCCAGGTGATGACAGAGAACAAGGGTTTAAGGATGTTTTTGCACTAAATCCTCTACAGCTTCAATACAAAATTTATTTAAAGTATTTGATATAGTTTTTGGATTGCTTATTGCGGAATTTGTATGTTTTTTTTTAGAAATTATTTGCTTTAGACTGTCTGAATATTTATCTGTCTCCCTATTGATTATTTCCCAAAGTTTTTTCTTATATGTTGTCTGAATTTTTTATTTTTTCATCATATGATTTTTTTCCTTATAGCTTGTTTCTATAATCTTTATTCAAATTACTACTAATTTAATTTTTTTAATGAAGATAAATTGGCTTTACAACTTAATCGAACATGGTAAAATTTATAGCAAAAATGATTTAAACGTAAAACAAATAGTTTATGTGTTTTAATAATTTAACTAGGGTTCCAAATTAATAGTTTTATTTAACATGATTGTTTTATTTAGACTTATTCTATATAAATGTGATCCAGTAAAAAACAAACCTCTTTACACTTGTATGCTCCAGACTCAAGAGCACAAAGTAGGCTAAAGGCTATGACATTTTTTGTCTCGCAAACCCTTAAATTCAGCCTTTGAAACTACATTATACAGCAGAAAACCCCATCTTAGAGTATTCAGAATGTGTTTGTTTGAAGTTTTTTACTAACTATTTTTTTTTTATGTTAACACTTTAACTTATTTCAAAGACAACAGCCACATAACAAAAACTATAGAAAACCCCAGTAACCTCAGTACTGTAATGAATTTTTGTGAGCAAGTTGATATTAGTTGGTCTTAGGTTTAATAGCATTTTCCTAGGCCAAGCACAAAACTTTACGATGCGTCTAACGGCAATAATTAATCAATTATTTCAAGTAAATTAATTAATTAAACTCAATTAATTGTTAGAGGAAACCCCAAATCAAATATAGGCCAATAAACGATGAAATATGAGATTGCATAACATACATAAATATGAGATTATAACATCAAGACATATACAATGGATCAGCTTTAAAAAATAGCAATACTGTAATGATATGCTATTTTAAAATGCATCATTTTTATTTTGGCATTTTTCAGGGTTGGTACTAAATTTGGAAAACCTGACTTTTTCAGGTTTTCCAGACTGATATTATACTTTTTCCAGGTTTACCGCAAGTCGATATCAACCAACCAATCTCAAGAAATATTAAAAAAAATTACTTATTTAATCACTCCCAAATACAAAACTTGTTTCAAACTATGTACATATCGATTCCTCTCCCGTACCGATAAAAACTATCAATATAAAAATGTGCATCAGTGCTAATGTCGTTCTTTTAGCCATTAGTCATATCCCTGATAAAACATGTTTAGCTGCAGAATGTACCATATCTATAAAAAAGTAGTCTTTCAGGAGAAATTCCAGAATTTTTTCATAATTCCCTGACTTTTCCAGACCAACCAAATTCCCTGACTTTTCTAGGTTTTCCCTGAGCACACCAACCCTGTTTTTTTTTTTACTGTCTGTAATGCAAGTTTATTTAGGCTCACAATGGTTTTCAGTGACTTGAGACGACAGGGTAGTGCACACAAACATCACCAACACGTGAGCATGATAAAAATGTTATTGTATAATTGGTTTTATTACATATTTTAGACTGTATTTTATAATATCACTGCAAATTGTACATGTATAGGCCTATGCTTATTTTTTTAACGTCTCCTACAAATTTAACACCACAAGCAATGATCGGTCTCCTGGTAATAGATATAATACCAGAAGTGCACAATATGCTATACTAAAGACATAATTTAGAATTAAAAAACACACTGTGAAAACTTACCTTATTAATACCTGACTTACCTTATTATACTGTTACCTTAAATATATCACTTTTTTGCCAAGTAGGGGTCTGCGGGTCAGACTTTTTTGGTTCGGGTCGGGTCGGGTCGGGCCAAAAATTATTAATTACCGGATTTTTTTATCTTTTTTTAACTCCTATCTGTGTTTATAATATTACTTGAAAATAACATATGGAAAAAGATTGTATTTATGTATATTATTTCATGTTCATAACTTATTTACAGCTTAGGAGTTGCCTCAACTGCAAGAAAGAAGAAAATAATTTTTTTTATCAAGCCATTCTTTCCCATTTTCATAACTGTTGAAATATCTAAACAGCTATATTACAACAAGTTTGTAATGGAACTTAATATAAATGGATCATAAACAAATCAATTAACCTTATCACAAGTTTAGGGCCTGTGGACTGGCTTCAAGACTGCAAGCAAGAAGAAAATAAAAATTCTATGTTTCCACCATGCAATATGAATCATTCTTTCCCTGCCTCCTAACCTCCTAAGTACAAAAACCGCACACTTACAATAGCATTATTAGTTACATCATCATAAATAAAGAATTATCTATTATTGGCATTAGTAGGCCTACAGCTTTACATAGGAATTATTTTTTATAGGGCCTAAAATAGTAATAGACTAAGCAACATGACAAGTGGAGAACTCATTGAAGAAAAGATATTGTGTAAACTAATTTACTATAAAACTCTAAAACAATAAATAACACACATACATTGTTTATGGTATAGTTATAGTAAAGACTGTAAAAATTGCATATCAAGTCATACACAGTTATAGGCACAGTTATAGGTATTGCAAGAGATTAAAATCCTAAAACAACTGATTTTAGCTAATAAATGAAAATAATTAAAAATCCATAAACTCAAGTCAAACAATATCACAATTATTAGGTACCGGAAAAGGAACTCTTAATATATCGAAAATTATATTAAATCAAGAGAAAAGAAAGTTAAATGCTAATTTGGCAACATAAGCAGACAGCAGAGACATTATAGTGCCCTAATTAGCAACACAACTCAATGTTTTTATACTGTAAGTCAATGTTTTTGAAACTGTAGGGTCTTTTTCTCGGAAGGAAGGGTAGTAGAATGTAAACAAAAAACCATGAATCACTCTCACAGCCGGGCCCGGGGACACTCAAGGTTACAGACTCTCCCCCTCCCCTCCCCTCCCATCTTACACAACCCGAGCCAGGCCCGGGGACACTCAAGGTCATAAACCCTCCCCCTCCACCGCCCCTATTACACCACCCGGTTGTTCGTTGTTCCAATTGCTGACAAAATACAAGTAACAAAACAAGGAAGTAGAGACAAAAAGATATATTTTCTTTATTCAAAAATATAAAACTGTTACAGATAATTTCAAAAAAAAAATATTCATGGTAGTTTGTGTCTTGTAAATATTGTATTGGATCTTAGAAATATCTTTTTTGAAACTCAATTTAACTTAAGAAAAAAATAATTTTACTGATGAAAACTTTCATAAAATTATAAAATATTTAGGCCTAACCTCTTTGTAGACTTGTTGATACTTGATACTTAAAAAAAAAAATAAATGGTGACCATAAAATGCCGAACCAGACGATCAGAAGTGTTGTTTTGTTTTGTTACTGAATGACAAAAAGGACAATAGGAAAATAAAAGAACAAGATACAGATCTAATTGATTATCTAAATAAAATACTAAAATATAATTTAAACTAGGTATGGAATAAACAATAAATAATTAAACTGGTACCTCTGGATAAATACTAAATAGTCTTTCTTTTGACTTTGTTTTCTTTGCACTGTTGCGTCACTTGTTTTGTCAGTAGACGACTGGCTCTGGCTAGTGACAGTAAGGCAATAATTGCTCTGTTGTGTCTTTGTTCTTAAACGTGAGCAAACTAAACTTAATATTTAATTCTAATTTTAACATTTTTATTCCTCTGTAATAATGTATATCAGAGTGTTTCTTTGAAAATTACTTATTATAACTTTAAAAATAGCCTAATATAATAATTTTTTTGGCCCGACCCAGATCTTGGCCCCGAACAAATCTCTGACCCGACCCGGTCTCTCGGGCCTTCCGCTGGCCCGACCCGACCCGAAAAAATCGGGGACCCGCAGACCCCTTATAAAAAGTGAATGTAATAGTAGGACATTTTACTGTAAACTAAAAAAATTTTTAGTAGAAAAAGCAATCTACTCCTTTGAGGAATTTTACAATTTAAAATACTGTGAATAGGCAATAAGTTACATTTCTCACTGACTCTATTCATTGTACTTGTACATTTATTATTACTGTAAAGGAGATTTTGATTTGATTTGAACATTGCAAGGAAAACATCAATCACCTAATAAGGGACAGATGGATACCTTGTTAGTTAATATTTTACCTGCCAAACAACCATTTTTGGTAGTTACTGAAAACATAGTCACACTTTAGTCTTCATACAATACTTTTACAAATTTATATTTAAATAACAGTGTGTTTTTTAAACTATCTGCTATATCATTTGAAACCATACTCCTGAAAATCAATAGAAGATTGATGCAAAACAGATAAGTTTACTTTTCAAAAAGAATAACAAATAACTATTTTTTGTGTATTTTACAGTAGATTACAGAATTAATAGCAAGATAAGAACTTATTTGTATACATCAATTATTAAACTGCACTAACCTTCTGTCGTTGAATATGTACCACTCGTGAGAATATGGATGTCTACAGTACGCAGTATAGTGGCCAGTGTAGCAAGTCCCATTGTGGTTGACGACTGCGTACAGATCATAGAGCAAGTTCTTGTATTGGCTCTCCGCTGAGTACGGCCCCATATCCAGCTTTGTCACTGGGAACTCGATGGAACTGTCTACTTTGCGAGCTCGGCTTCCCAGAGAAAACCGTTTAAGATCTATTCACACCAATCAAGGTAAAAATATGAAATCATTGGTTTAGTGATAAAAAGCAAGTAACGTTTTAGTAGTGTAGATACAAGTTAATTTGGTGTTGGTCAAAAAACATTCCCTATAAATAAAAACTTCACAATGTGCTATTGCTATAAAATAATAGTCAACTGGTGAAATAAAATAATATACATATATTAACAATTAATATATAAATAATTAAATAAACAATATCCTTATTTTCTGACATTTTAGTCTCTATAATGAAATTTTCAAGTGTGTTTACCTAATTTCAAAAGTAAATATTATATTTGGAATAAATTCATGTGTTAATTTTGTTAGTATGTGATTTATGTGGATTATCAACAATAAATATATATTTACTAGTTTAGTTGGTGTTGGTTTTATTCTAATATTTACAATTTTGTTTTCTTTGTTATTATGTGGAGTATAGTAACGTTTTGGACTATACATATATTAACTGAACACAATTCTTTTTTTACTCATGTTACAAGAACCATTTTATATTGGGGGAAGAGGAAAGGAGTAAATTTAAAAAAAATAAGACCCCTTGTTCATAGATTAATATAAAGTTTTCAATACTTTCTACTTCTGATTAAAAATAATATATATTTTTACTACCCAAAACATTGTTAGAGATTTGTTTTGAATTTTTGGTGATGGAATGTGTTTACAACGATTCCTTATTTATTTAAATTATGTAATATTAAGAGCATGATTTTTTTTATTAATATGAAAACAATTACCAACACAAATCTCTTGATAAAAAATGTAACAAAATATAAATTTATAATCGGCAAAAAACACTGAGAAAATAATGGAATTACAGTATCCACAGAATTCTATAGCAGACACTATGGTTTCATTGTTTTAACTTATATTATTTGTAAAAAATACAAAATCCACGCAAGACAATTTCCGCCTCATTGAATTTAGCAAGATGGCGGCGCATGGCAAACAGTCCAAGTGCGGTTCGTGTAATAAAAACATTACGAAAACCAGTAAAGCACTCCTATGTGTTAGGATTTGTAAATCATGGCATCATAACACCTGCATTGATGTATCTGACGAAGAGTATGAGTTATTCATAGCTCTAGGAAAAGCCATTTGTGGAAAGTGACGTGCACGTCTGCTAAAGCTTCGACTTTGTGTTCACTAGAGGTGAATAATGTTGAAAATGACAATGGGCTAAGTCCAAACAATTTAAAACTGTTGACTGGTCAAATTTCTGATGTTTCTGATACGTATAATTTTATTACAGCTCAATTAATTAAAATGGATAACAACAGAAAACTCCTGCAATCGGCAGTAAACAATCAAGCGGAGGTTATGTGGTTAATAAATGGTTTTTCTGCAGGTGCAAAAACTTACGCAGATTCTTTGAGAGTTAATTCAGGGAGCCCTCGACTCCCCTTTGTGTATAGTATTTTACAACTTAAATGTTAGCCTATAGCCTACTTAAATCTAGTCTATTCAAAAATCTGAATGGTTTATGTTACCTGGCTTTGTCAAGTGATCCTGCTTGAGTAGTTTACTACTATAGTTTCAGACTTAAAATTCCATCTTCAGGTAGGAACAAAAACGTCAATAAGTCATCTTACCAATATGGTTAGATTTGTCGTTACACTTAGAACACATACACGAACACGAAAAACACAAAAAACAAGTATAATACTGTAAAAACTGGCCAGTGTAAAATTAATCACGGGGGACACGTGTGGTGGCGCCGGAAGATGAGTCATGACTGCATGTCAGAGTCCAGTGGATGACGTAATGTCCCTCTCCTGACCTTCCTTAACCTTGGTCCGTGTTATCGCCATTGTCTCTGTCAGCTGATAGTTTCATAGCCTTATTGTAGATTATGTTTGACTCGCATGATAACTTCTCATTTAATACAAATTGGGGATTTTGTTTGGACGATTTGTATATTTCATACTCTTCGATTGTGTTCATATAATAGCCTTTATTGCATGTATGGAGGATATGCAAATTTGTATTTAAATCTGTATAGTTATGGTTTGAATTGATCAAATGATTGGCATAGGCTGAGGTAGAATGTTTTAAAAAATGAAGTTTGGCAAATGTAGAAAGAGGGACAGTCATTATATTTGTTTTTATGTTTTTAGGAAAAAGCATTTAGCTTGGATTAAATAAATAAATATAGGATGGAGAGGACACAGCTAACTCACCTGATGAAAGGTTGCAGATGAGTCAAAGAACACATAAAATCACACACATAATTTACTTAATATTTCGCCTCTTTCAGAGGCTTCTTCAGAAGTAGGCCTAGATGGTAGTTACAAAACAACAGTTTAAAACTGTTGTTTTGTAACTACCATCTAGGCCTACTTCTGAAGAAGCCTCTGAAAGAGGCGAAATATTAAGTAAATTATGTGTGTGATTTTATGTGTTCTTTGACTCATCTGCAACCTTTCATCAGGTGAGTTAGCTGTGTCCTCTCCATCCTATATTTATTTATATTTGTTTTTAGTATTTTTTGTGTTCGTGTATGTGTTCTAAGTGTAACGACGAATCTAACCAAATTGGTTAGATGACTTATTGACGTTTTTATTCCTACCTGAAGATGGACTTTTAAGTCTGAAACTATAGTAGTAAACTACTCAAGCAGTATCACTTGACGAAGCCAGGTAACATAAACCATTTAGTGATCCAGAGGCTACCTCACCATGAAATTCAAAAATGTCTATTCGCCACATACCTTATATGTAATGTTATTATATGTAGCCTAACTTAATATTCTGACGTGTTCTATTACTGTATTTCATGTTTAATTATAAAATAAAGAATCATTAAATCTTGAATCAAGGTAATTCCAGGCTCCTGCAAATTAAGCTTGAATATTTTACTTTAAAAGGATACGAATGACAAGAACTTCGGGGAATTTCTGAATTACAAATCTCTTCTTGCATTTCCGCCGAGTCTTGCACTTGGAACAAGTCTGAAATCACAAAATTGACTGCTTCAAAATAGAGAGAAGTTTACTCATAATTTTATTAACCATGCCATGAATAAAAATACCCCAATGCACAAAGAGTTGTTGCTTTCTTTAAGGGGAAAAAATTTTAATGATGGTTTAATGGCAAAAAAATAAATTAATAATGACAATAAGTAAAAAAATAACAATAGATTTGACAAATTTACAAAGATACGTCTATGGACAAATAGATTGTCCACATACAGCAATAAATATATTACCAAGGATAACATAGAAAGCAATGTACTGTTTTAAAACTTATATAGCTTATAGCTTAGTAGTTACCTCATTAAATAGATTTTGGAAATTCAAAATGGTAAAAATTACAGATACCGTGAATTAGATTTTAAATTTGTCTTAATTAGGTACTTGAAAACTGTATAAAATAGCAAAAAAAGTTTTAAACGGATGATGTTACCAAAGATAAAAGATAATACCTCCGCCACAGCAAACTTGCAGACTAAGGGAATTTCTATTTATCTGGCTGGATTTCTACTAAAATATTCCTTAAAAATTGCCAGATTTATTTTCTATTTAAATAAAATTAATTTTAGTGAGTACTTAGGTTTGCTGCTACAGGGAAGATATTGAGGTGTGTTTTTTCGTAATGTTGATAGCTTAGTATTAAATAAACAGAATTTCCAAATTTGGTTAAAATATATCCATAAACAAGCAAACTACAACAGTTTATTTATTCTCCATATGAATAACATGGGAATTTTAATTTAGAAGTTTTAAAATTATCTACGTAACCGTTAGGCATACAACAACGCTTCAATATGCAAAATTATTTCTTTTTTAAGCTCTGCAAAATGGTTTGGAGAGAAATTATGAAATTTTGTGTTTTGAGGGTCAAAAATGGGAAAAATCAATTTTTGCACAATAAAACGCCCCATAAACCCCTGTTCCCATAGTCTGATTATGATGGTTTGCGAACTTGTTTGAATAAACGTAGGTATAGTTTAAACGTTAGTATAAAATTTAATCAAAATCGGATCATTTTTTTTTTGTCATCGCGCTAACGGACATATATATATATATGACTTTGAACGTATGGTGTTTAGACCTCTGGGGACCTCAAAACAAAATAAATCGGTCCTGGGTCTAGGTCTTACCATGAGACCTACTGTAATAGCTTATTCCTTATATAGAAAATTCGCTAAAAAACCACTTGAGCATAGTTGATTTTTTTTAGTAAAAGAGGTTGGCAACCTCTTTTAACCTTGCTACTACATACCCGTCCACATAGACTACAGATCTGTGTGTGGAACGTATCCAGCAAAGCAAGGTGTGAGCCGGTACAGTACGAAGGTGAACTGTACTGATTGATTAAATAACCCTTTTTTTTACTACCGGTACTTGGCAAAAGACAGCTGAACTCTTCAACATACTAAATAGTCAGCCAAAGGATCAGAATTGCTCATAAAAAAAAAAAAAAAACAGTCAAATTGATATAGTGCTGAACAGAGCTTACTTGATTGAAACTTGAGGTTCCACACCCACACCATATCTACCCTACCCTGCTGACATAATTTTTAATATAAAGTTCTTCTCTTAAAAACTTAGGAATACAACAGAGAAAAAAATATGTTAAAAGAAATATACCGGCATTTCATCTCCGTCGAGCACCTCCTCCTTAGTAAAAAGATCGAAGCAATGAGAAAGCATAAGTTTGCCTGGGTGAGTAAGGGTGTCTGGAATTGGCAGCGACAAATCCCAAAACGGCTCAAATGTGGTGGATTTATGGCTGCAGTGAGTACACTCCAATATAGACTTGAGCAGACCACCAAACGTATCTACAATCTTGCTGTTCTCCAATCTCAGATATCGCTTCCACACTTCCAAAGCTTTTTGTGAATCACTACACAGAATGAATGAGGTTGAAGAAAACCTGTCATGTAAGATTAAGTACAAAAATAGCATTATCTAAAAGAATGTAGGAAAAAGCACAGTGCAATAGATTATCTGAGCCTAGACTAGGCTAAATGAGTTTTGGTTTTAACTGAGCTGCTTTTGCGTGTTATGAAAAATTGTATATAAATAATCATCAATGTTTGATATATGTTATAAGTGTATCAACGATTGTTTTTCAACACAACTCGGCAAGATAAAATGTTCACTGCATATTTTAGGCTGAAAAATGACAACAGTTTTCTTACAACCTTTAGAGGTTCAGTGTGAACAATAAACTGATGGACAAAACAGGGTTGGCAGGTAGAGCGGGCTGAGAGGTGACCGGTGAATGTCAAAAAGGCGTTGCCGATGTTTAGGGTGGTGGGAGGTAGGGGAGAATGACCTTGAATTGGCTATAAGGTGTATAACCCAGTAATGGGACGTATTGCAACATTGGGCTTTGTTTCAATGACAGTTTTTTCAATACTTCGATCTCGTTAACGCAAAATAATAATTTGATACTTTATAATTAATTTATTGTAAATTATTGTAACTAATTAATACAATAAATGCATTTTTCACAATACTAGGCATCTCATTCTCTAATCTTACAGCAGTAAAGTCAGTTTATCAGAGTTTTCGACTATACGAGGTACACTCAGTCCACATCACCTCAGTTAATCGTGGCACTATATTCAATCAGGACCATAAAAATGAGGCTACTTTTCAAGCTGTTTTTTAGCTTCCATTCAGAAGCTATTTATGCAGAAATTATGTTCAGAATGAATTCAACTTACTCCAAATCATCGTCGATTTCTTCTGTCAGTGGCTTAGGTCGACTTGTAATACGATTTATCTCATTGTGTATTCCTTCCAGGAGATAGCGCAAGAACTCCTGAGCATCTTGTTGAAGATAGCCCGTGAAACGAGGGGCAACAATATCAACTTCCAGCTTGAAATTGTGAGTGGAAAGTGACTTTTGGTCTCCTTGCCAAAGGTTTTTTATCAGTTCAGCAAATCCTGCAACAACGGTTTGTTTAAAGCGTTAGTGTTCTTTTAAAGAAAAGTAGTTTTTTAGTATTTTAGTCAATTGGTAATACAACATATTAAAATCTGGTACAAGAGTCGAAGCAGATAATTTTTGTTTAGCGCTTAGGTTTATTAGAGAAAAACTGTGTTTAAAAAACTTGCGAGGATTTTAAATACAGTAGACTCTCACTAAAATGACCCTGCACGACCAGGTAGAGGTTAAATCCACGGAGGAACATGAAGAATCAGTTGTGCAAAACAAAATTATCCTTGTATCTAGCCATAATCATACTTATATAAGCCATACATTTTTTGTCTATGTTTAAACCACAAATAAACAAATAATATTCTGTCTGAGTATCTAGATTGTAATATACAGCCTGTTAAAATAAGAAATCTTTACATAAAATCATCGAGAGGTTGCTGAGCAAGGTTGCTAAAAACAAATTAAGCTTATTAACAGTCAGAAAACATGTCATATTTAAAAATATTTACTTACTTTTCATAAGAGCTGACTTTACTGAGGGTCTTATTTCATTAAGATATTCATCACTGAGGATATATTCCTTGATCACCCTTGTGTTGCTAAGGCACTGCACAATAGAGTTGAGGAAGCACTGTGAACATTCAACACTAACATTTTTAAAGAAATTAATAGTTTTGAAAGTATTTAGTAAAAAAAAATACTAAATTAATTCAAACAGGCCTACAACTTTATATAACACATACAACTTTATGTTAAGTCTCTTATTTGAGAAAATATGGCTTACGAGCCATACTAGAAATTACGAGCCATAGGAGAGCTTGAGGCTTGTGTTTAGAAACACGACTAAGGGATTTAAATGGTTTATGACTTGAATTTTACAAATAGTTTGTTTATATTTCACTAACAAAGTTTGTTTTTTAAATGACTTTACAGCACAAAAATGTTAAGCAGATTTAAAAAAGTTATAAATGTAATTATGTTGATGTACTTTCCAAAATCAAAAGAGTGATATAAAAATTGTTGCTATTTTGTCCACACCAGCGAAGCTGTTCAAAGCCATTAATTCAACAAGGGAAGACAGGGTTTTCAATCATGTGAAGTTCTGGATTACGCCTCTCCAACATGGTTTTTATCCTCGGAGGTTTATCAATATTAATCTGATGAATTTTTGTATTTCTTCTTTGGACAAAGAGGTCAGGTTGATGTCATTTATACTGATTTTGAAAAAGCGTTTGACAAAGTCAACCATCTATCACTATTGTCAAAACTGGCATCTCCTGCAATGGTTTGCTGTTTTTTTTGACCTACTTACATAACAGAAAACAGTTTGTTCATTTTCAGGGAAGTTCATCTTCTGAATTTATTGTATCTTCAGGGGTTCCCCAGGGTCCGAACCTTGGCCCTCTATTATTCACAATCTTCATTAATGACTTTGTTAACAGTGTGCTGAATAGTAAAGTCCTTCTTTATGCTGATAACCTAAAGATCTTTAGAGAAATAAACGACATTAGTGATTGTCTTCTATTGCAACAAGACCTGGATAGATTAGCGGCTTGGAGTGATGTGGGAATAAAATTCCATTCCGATAAATGTTTTGTTGTCAGTTACACCAGACGCACTCACAATGCTGTTAACTTCCAATATTCCATGAATGGTGATTTACTGGGTAGTCGCAGTAGTGTAACAGATTTTGGTGTTACAATTGATAGCAATCTGTCTTTTTCTAATCACATAATCGAGTCTTGTAGATCAGCGTATCAAATTCATGGCTTCATATTCAGATAAGGAAGTTTTATAACAAACATTTACAGCCTCAAACTTTTATATTGCACCCTGGTACGGCCTTAACTTGAGTTTGGAGCAACTGTGAGGTATCCTCATCAAACCTATCTTGTTGACATGATTGAGCAAATACAAATAAAATTCCTTAGATATTTATTCTTCAAAAAATTTGGATACTTCACATTTGATGTATCTTAACACAATCTTTTAAACTTGTTTAAAATGGTCAGTTTAAAGCGACGTCGTGATATGGGTATGCTTATCTTTCTATACAAACTATTCAATGATAAGGTGTAATGGTCACATTTTATTGGGGGGTTCGTTTTAATTATTTAAAGGCCGCGAAGGCTTGAGCGCGCTTGACAACAATGTCACACATGTCCACTGCAGCTGGTCATGTCTCCTAGTTCGAGACTCGGCCGCTGTCACCTTGAAGCGCTGCCGTAGACGTGGTGGGGAGAAGCCGAGACCAGCGGACAATGGACAGTTCTTGAGGCAGTCGGCGTCGAGCGTTAGGTTCGCGCACACCAACCAACCCTCCTTAGGCCGTGCGAGCGAACCAAATAATAAGGTATCCGGACGAAGGCGAGAGTAACCCGGATGCAAATCTGGAAGTGTCGTGTTACGTAAGTACACTGTATATAGCTAGCGTATACGTTGTATTCATCCCCGTATCCACTTTGGCGAGGGAAATTGCGTTATTTATTAGGCTATTCTAGGACGTTTATCGTAGTTTATTATAGAATAACGTAGTTTATCGACCGACGCTGCGAGTGTAGTGTCGCAGTCACATACGCCGACTTTTAGTCATCCAAAGGGGTTTTGTTTTATTGTAATCAAGAGTTTTTATTTATTTTCCTTAAAGCCAAGAAGAATTGGCGTATGCGCCTTCTACGTTTTAATTTTATTTCATTATTTACTTATCGCGAGTTAGCGTAGTTTTTCTTAATTCCGAGAAGATTATTTTTAGTTTTATTTTGAGAAGTGAGACGTTTTGTTAAGCCTAGGAGCTGGGTATTTATTTTATTTTCTAATCTTCACCTAGTTAGCTATCAGCCCTAGTAGTTAGCTTAGACTTGGCCTTGTCAGCGCGTCGCTGTGCTGACACCAAGTTATAGGAGTAACCATAGTTAGTGTATTCCTTAATAGCAACTCGTGTACGGTGCGTCGACGTGCCGAGGTACACAGTGTGTACTTGTGTACTAGCAGATCGGCGCGACATTAACATCTACGAAGATCTAGAAGTGGTAAGCGAGCGACGAGGACTGTCAGCGAGACCCTGGACTACTCGAGCTGTCCGAGCAAATCGGAGGTAAGTTTACGATAGGTGCCCTACCCGACATAAACACCTCACAAAGTGGCGCCTCCGAACAGGGACATTGAAAGTTTCGTTATTATCGTAATATTCATACGTGCTTCACGTATTGGCGCCCGAACGGTAAAATCGATATCGTAGTGGTTTTTTCTTTGTAATATAAGAAAAAGCGAAAATGGTAGGATCGAGTGTTAGCGCGAAAACTACGCCTAAAACGGTCAGAGCGGTGACTGAATCGACCTCGACTACGACGACTACAACTGCCGGGTCTTTACAAGCTCAAGTAGCGCAAACTATTTCACAACCAACTGTGCCATCGACTTTAAGTTTTCCCGCTACGACCGCAGAGGCTACTCAGCCTCAAGTAGGTACAACGACGACACAGTTAATGGTACCAACGACTTTAAATTTACTTACTACGACTGATCGTACGTTGACGTCTAAGAGTCCCTCAGAGGATGACCCGCGAATTGGGTGGATTCACACGTTAACCAAGGATGAACTTCGTTACGAAATGAGTCGATACGGTTTGCCGAATATGGGGACAGTCGAGGAACTTCGAAAATCTTTTTGTAAATTTTGGAAACATGGCATTCCCCGAGCAGTGTACGGTAAGGACGTGAATGATAGCGTGGACGGTGCGACTGCACTTCCACTCGGCTATGACACGGGATATGTCGACTCGCGACCAGGTGCCAGTGACATACGAAGTGCGGAACTTGACAGAGTACGGGAGATAGTTGGTTTGCCCCCAGGAACCAACTTTGAGGACGTTTGTCGTTCGTTATCAAGCCTAACAATGCGCGCTGATAACAATCAGGCCAACAATCAGGCTAGTAATTATCCAGTCAATATGACACAATCAGATCGTTTTACAAATTCCGAGGGGTTAGTGTATAGTACACTAACCAGACCAAGTGTTAACTATGCTTTCGACACCTCCCACTCTACAGATTCGATTAATCGAACTACGGTGCCCGGTACCGGTCAGCGACCGTACGGTGGGTTCGCGAGCGAACAACTAGGTATTGCTACACAGGCAAGCGTGAATCACGGATTCAGTAGTGGTTTGCCTTCGTGTCACGAAAATTCGAACGTAATTCGTAAGGTTGGCGTTGATGTCTCGGCATTGTGTAATTTAGTTCGAAAGTGGAACGTTCGTTTTGACGGCTCTAAAGACCCCGTTTCTTTCTTGGAACGCCTGGAAGAGCTTATGGAGGCCTACGAAATAAATAAGAACGATATTATACGAGCACTCCCCGAGCTACTACATAGTAATGCACTGTTGTGGTATCGAAACTATAAAGACTCCTGGCATAATTATGAGTCATTTAGATCGAGTTTCGAACTACAATTCCTACCACCGGGATACCAGCGAAATCTAGACGAAGAAATTCGGCGTCGTACTCAAGGTGACAACGAAGCTTTTAGAAACTTTGTTGTGGCTTTAACTACTCTCATGCGACGCAAGGGAACTCTCAGTCTCCACGAACAATTGAATATTTTGTATACAAATATGAGACCCGAATATAAGTTGACGATGAGGAGACACGATTTTTTCTCGGTCGACGAAATGCTCAGACAAGCGGAACACGTTGAGAGCTATTTTAGGGAAAAATCTCTTTTCCGTCCCCCTCCCCCTCCGTCGGCAGCGTTGGTCCCCGAAACGGCTTATCACCCGAGACGAGGACGCGATAATAAATCAGGAGATCATTTCGGAGTTTCGACGATTGGCGAGTGTCAGTCATCAAACGGCGTGACGGGACGATTAACCGAGAAGCGCGTAGGCTTCCGGTCAGAGGCAAGACCACGTAGGTCACGAGAACACTCTCCGAACCCCCGGACGGGTAATTTTACGAGGACTTCGTCATCTACTAAACCACGACGTAACTCGGAGCGTGAGCGCGGAGGTTCACCCCGAGAAAACAATGCAGTTTCGCGATGGGCGAATAACATGAGAGAAAAATCATATCTCACATGTTGGAACTGTGACAAGAAAGGCCACATGTTTCGTGACTGCCGTATGCCAAGAACTCTAAAGTGTTTCTATTGTAAAAAGATGGGTATCCGAACCCATGATTGTCGGTGTCGAGAAAATTACCAAATGAGGTCAACTGAATCCTCAGTAGTGCCTTCTACGAAGACCTCCCCGGACTGGTGCGCTTGGTTAGAGAAAATTAAGAAATTCCCGGAAACCGAGAACGCTCAGATTCAGACTAACGACAGACGACCGCACGTATCGGTGACGATAGCAGGGCGAGAGTTCGCCGCGCTAATAGATACAGGTGCCGTAGTCACGTTGATCGGCACGGCGGTGGCACGTCACTTGGAACAGTCTGGAATTATGTCTGTTTTGACTCCTATGGTAGTGAGACTCGCCAACGGTAGTTATTCGAAGTCGCACAAGTCCTATCACTTCAAAGGTCTATTGAAAGGACGAATGGAAGAGTTCCATGCTCTGTATCTTCCCTCGCTTACCAGTGACATAGTTCTCGGGATCGATAGCTTAGAGCGACTGAACTTGGTGACATACCACGTGGAGGTAGAGAATACGAGACCGGACGCGGCTGATGGAGTGAACGAACGGCACGGTGTTGAGGCTCAGTACCAGACAGGTACCGCCAACAATGTGGCTGGTGCGTTATCGCGACCGGCAGAAGGTGTCGCCGAGTATACCTCCATCGAGACAGAGGTGTGTCCCCTTCAAGTATGCGTTAACTCGGACGCTAAAACACCAGGGAGTGATCCAGAAAGGTTGAATAAACGATCTGGTGGCACAGACAGATGGTACGATAAACTTTGGACCAAGGTGAATGTTAATCCCGGGAGTTTCGATAAATACATTATTCGTAGCGGCAAGCTATTTCGGTTGAACGGTCGGAAGGATACGGACAGTGATAGTCGCGATCAGAGAAGGAGGATGGGTGCTCTTAAAAACGAGCGCCAAATGTCCGTTGCAAGTCGAAAGGATAATCAGTCGTCGCCGAGTGATATCCATGTCAAGCGTAGGAACGGTTTCCTGAGGTTGTGCGATACAACTCAGCCAAATCGTAGATTGACATCTAACTTTGACAAACAGGTCGATACTTCTCTTTTGCATAGGCGTGAGAGGAGAGCGTTCTCCCCGCCAGAGAAGAAGGGCCGAGCGTTGGGTGCGGGGATGGTTTGTCGCCTCGCCCACTAGAAGAAGCGTTTGTACGAGCGAAGATACCTGTAGGCAGGTACTTTTTTTTTTTTTGTTTTTTTTGTCGCCAAAGTGAAAAGGGGGTGTAATGGTCACATTTTATTGGGGGGTTCGTTTTAATTATTTAAAGGCCGCGAAGGCTTGAGCGCGCTTGACAACAATGTCACACATGTCCACTGCAGCTGGTCATGTCTCCTAGTTCGAGACTCGGCCGCTGTCACCTTGAAGCGCTGCCGTAGACGTGGTGGGGAGAAGCCGAGACCAGCGGACAATGGACAGTTCTTGAGGCAGTCGGCGTCGAGCGTTAGGTTCGCGCACACCAACCAACCCTCCTTAGGCCGTGCGAGCGAACCAAATAATAAGGTATCCGGACGAAGGCGAGAGTAACCCGGATGCAAATCTGGAAGTGTCGTGTTACGTAAGTACACTGTATATAGCTAGCGTATACGTTGTATTCATCCCCGTATCCACTTTGGCGAGGGAAATTGCGTTATTTATTAGGCTATTCTAGGACGTTTATCGTAGTTTATTATAGAATAACGTAGTTTATCGACCGACGCTGCGAGTGTAGTGTCGCAGTCACATACGCCGACTTTTAGTCATCCAAAGTGGTTTTGTTTTATTGTAATCAAGAGTTTTTATTTATTTTCCTTAAAGCCAAGAAGAATTGGCGTATGCGCCTTCTACGTTTTAATTTTATTTCATTATTTACTTATCGCGAGTTAGCGTAGTTTTTCTTAATTCCGAGAAGATTATTTTTAGTTTTATTTTGAGAAGTGAGACCTTTTGTTAAGCCTAGGAGCTGGGTATTTATTTTATTTTCTAATCTTCACCTAGTTAGCTATCAGCCCTAGTAGTTAGCTTAGACTTGGCCTTGTCAGCGCGTCGCTGTGCTGACACCAAGTTATAGGAGTAACCATAGTTAGTGTATTCCTTAATAGCAACTCGTGTACGGTGCGTCGACGTGCCGAGGTACACAGTGTGTACTTGTGTACTAGCAGATCGGCGCGACATTAACATCTACGAAGATCTAGAAGTGGTAAGCGAGCGACGAGGACTGTCAGCGAGACCCTGGACTACTCGAGCTGTCCGAGCAAATCGGAGGTAAGTTTACGATAGGTGCCCTACCCGACATACACACCTCACAAAGGTAAGCCCCCGCGTTGTCCAGTCTGTCTTTCTCACGGACTTGCCTAGGGGCTTAATCACCCATCAACACGATGATAAGACTATATAACTCAATATCGAACAACATTGATATTTTTAACGAGCCTAGCCTTTAAAAAAATCTTTAGTCTCACATAATGGTTAATGTTATTTATTTCTCTCTCCTTCATCAGTTATCAGTTATCGTGTGTCTCATGTTTAGCTTCTTATCTTATTTATTTGTGTTGTATTGTTAATCACTCTTATTTGTTGTTATTTAATGCTACTATTTTTTATTGTTGTTGTTATTTAATAATTAATATTTATTATTATTTGTGGTCTATGAATGTTTCACTTTAGGCTATATTCAATTTCATGAACTCATAGCATGTTCTCAATTTTGTATAAACTAGGATAGTGCTGCAATGTAAATGGGATTTGTATTCTGTTAATTCTGTTTAATTCTGTTAACGCATATAGTGAATAAATAATACTGAAATAATTTAGTAACAAATATTTAGCATGAACAGACAACTCATTGATATTGTAACTAATTCAAATTGAAGGCCTTTATCAACAACAAATTTTACAAAGATCATTATATTTACCAAGCAAAGTCTAATCATTCCTACATTGTATTATTGGAATTTTATAACAACATGCAGGGTGTTCAAAAAAGGTGGGGAAATAATTTACGTAATGATTCCTTTTGACCCAAGAGAGAATAAAGAGAAAATCAAGAACAAGTTTTTTTATCGCTTCCTTAACCAGATATCCGTCATTCTGTATTTTTCATATAACATTTTTTATCTTGAAATTTTTCAACCATCTAATACATACCAAGTTTCATAAAAATCGGTTGAAAAATGTCAAGGATAAAAATGTTTATGTAAAAAATACAAAATGGTGGATAACTGGTTAACAAAGCGATTTTCGAAACAATCTTATTCTTGATTTTCTCTTTATTTTGACCCAAGGAATCACTACGTAAATTATGTCCCCACCTTTTTTTCGAACACCCTGTATGACTGAAACAAATTTTTTGTCATGGGAAGACTGCAAGAGTGCAAGTTGTAGTTGAAATACCTACAGTGTTGCCTATATTGTTGAGCCCCGTGAGTCCCTTTTGGTCATGAGATGTCTTGGATGATTTGCTCGGTGAGGACAATTCACGGTCACTCTCCTGAAAAAAAAATTTATCATAAAAACACTTATCTACAAGTTTTAGGGTTGCATTGATTAGTGGCTATCTTCACCATATAAGAGATATTTTGAAATTGTTATAGTTTTCAAGCAGAAATTCATATAACAATTATTTTAACTTTTCAATTTGTTTAGGCTTGTAAATTTTCAAACTGTTAAATACTCAATTAACAAACAATAAAGATCTTAAGTTCAGAAAAATCACAATTAGTATAGTAGTTAAACAAGTTATATTCATTTAGAGTGATTTAAAATTTAGGGATATCACAGTGAAAAAGAGATAGGGAATATTTAAAAGTTGAAAAGAGCAGCTTTTACTTTAAGTAATCACAACCACAGAACAGTATAAAGTATAAAGGACACCTTAATTGTTGTGGCTTTCAGAAATGTCAACACAAGCACTTCTAATAAAAAAATATAAGTAAAAAATAAAAATACTGATTTTGTTTTGAATGAAGTGCAAGTTTCAACCCTTACAAGGTAGAAATGAGAAATAACTGTTAGTCACTAAACCATTTCCCCAATCCCCTAATTGTTTCTTTTCAGAGACAAGGTACATATTATTAGTGCCATGATCACCTCTATAAACCTCAGATTGTTAAATAAGAACAACAAATCTACTTATATATTATTCAGTTCTGAAAATCTTTGTACAACTAAATCTAGCGTTCTACTGGACCAATTTATTATTTAATGGGTCCATTGGAAAGCTTAATTTGTGTAGATTTGGAAATAATTATGATTTATAGTGAAAAAAAAAACATGTTTTCCATAAGAAATACCCCCGTTTTCACATATTTTATTTGGATGCAACTTTTGGCTGCCTTTTTTGAGTGTTTTTAAGAAATGCTATCAATTAGTAGGAAATTTGATTCTCTTTCAGAATATAAGGTACAGAGCCGTATTTCCCTGATGGCGGACACGGTGGTTGCCGGGGGCCTCGGCCTAAGAGGGGTCCTAACTTGGGGCCTATTCAATGTGTTTATATACAAGAATGAATAAAGTAGTTTTGAATTGAATTGTTTTTCTTTATAAATTTATTTCACCGACCATCTTTTTTGCGGGAGACAATGAAATCAACGCCACCGCAAAGATCTTCACTATTTCTCCGTTAACAAAGGAGTTGTCACTATTCAATTACGATTGCGGAAGATGTCCAGAATTGTATTGCGACCACAGGGGAGTCGAACATCATGTCCCCAAAAACATGGAGGATCTTTATGCATAATGAACGAAGGAGACGTAGATGACGTCTCCGCGGTCGCGCATGGCACTAACTATTTCTCTGCGGCCACAGAACACTTTCATGATTTCGCCGCGATCGGAGGTCTCCGCTCTCGCGCAAGCCACAAACAGTTAGTTACTCCACGGCCATTGGAGACGTTCGTGATTTCACTGTCATCGGAGGAGACGATGATGACGTTCCCGCGCTCATGCAAGATGCTAACTATTACTTCATGGCCATAGGAGATGTTCAAGATTCTAGCATGTTCAGAAAACACAGGAGACATTCATGATTTCGCCAGTATTGCAGAAAACAAAGATGGATGTCTCCATGATGTTCACTATTTTGCCCTGAACGTAGACACAACCTTTCACAATCCCTTCGCGACCGCGCAAATGTGCACGATTTTACTGTAACCGCAGAAGACCCTAACAATTTGGAGTCTCCCTAATTCTTTTCTGCCGATCAGATTGTTGAAAACAATCGAGTTGAAGCAATGCCTCGTTTCTGCCTTTAAGTTCTAACCTTCCGAAGAATCAGAATATAGAGGGGTCTCACTGGTGAGAGCAGCCGGGGCCTCATCGATTCTAAATACGGCCCTGATAAGGTACATATATAAGGTATAATATTAGATATATAAGGTACACTCGCCTTTCGGATCTGTTTCGCTCCCTTTTTACTGACCTTGCAGTTGAAGTTAAATCAGTCATTTATTTGGGGAATACAAATATTGATATGTTGTCACAAACCTGCGAAACAAATTACTTGTGTAGGCTGATGAGAGAATCTATCACTATACAAATTGTCAACAAGCCTACAAGAGTGACAGAAACCTTGGCAAAATTGATTGACCACATCATAGTAGACAAATCAGCCGAGATTGAAAGAGTTGGGAGTCATAGACACCCTGACACTTCTGAAGTCAGTGTAGCCGCAAACCTGAGCCCGTCCAGCCCTGCGCACGGTGTTATCACAGTATTTCGTTATCTAAATGTTTCGTACGTGTCGTGTATGAGTGATGAATGTAAAATGTGTCTGGACTATTTATTTAATACATCGACGCTGTTGCTACAAAGCAACATAGAAGCAAATTCAACCTAGTGACAGTGGAGCTGAGGATGACCTGATGGTTGAAACGCGTACTCCACAGCAATTTATGGATTGATGACGTAAGTTATTTAATTATTTGATAACTCAATCCGTTGTGCTACAATCTCAACATAATAATAATACTTTAGTCCAAATTTTAAATTTTTTGTGGTGTAAAGGATTTTATTTTTGAGGGGATCTTATTATATAGACAAATCCTCATATGGATGGGTTTTTTTTTTAATTGGGGTCTGGGCGGTTTTACGTTCAGGGACTTGTATACTATAACCACCTCAAGTGGCATGTTCCCCGCCAGAACTGAAATATTCTGCCACCTTATACAACTATACATCCCCACTAATTGTAAGTAAAAAATATGAATAAATTATTAAATCAGATTAAAACTGTTCTAGTAAAAACAAGTGAATCATCCTTGGAATCATGAGTTAAACCAGTAACACTCGACTAAAATAACTCATTTGTGTTGATGTCATTAATGTTGAGTGGTCAAGAACAAATTTTAAATAAACTACCTTTTAAAAATATTTTTATGATAAACAATGTCACTACTCCTAATTGATAACAATAGTATTTTTAAACTAATACACACCTAATCACATACATCACCTAAAAACATGGTTAGTTGATTTAGTATTACTTGATGTTTACCTTTCTTGATAGGACCAACGTTTTTTTATAAATACAGCCTCTTGAAACACAGCTAAAAGACACAGTGTTCACCTTTTCATCCATGGAATCAAACACACCCAATCCAAAAGAGCACAAAACACTGAAGAGCAAAATGACCCAACAGACGGACACAGTCCACTCAATAACTCCATCTGGCCCCGAAGTCACACAACATTTGTTAAATTTCTATAGGCAGTGCCGTATTTCTAACGAGGGAGGCTCCCGGCGGCTCTCACCAGGGAGATCCCTCTATTATAATTCTTTGGTGACAATCCGATTGGCAAATGGACATGGAAGGCTAGGAGACCGGCTAATAAATAATTGCAGTATATTTTTTATGATAATATTTAGCAGACCAGACTTGTTTATATTGGTTTGGGTCAATGTTGACTTTTGAGTTTCGAGTTGAAATTAGGTTATTAAAATTTAATCAAATGATTTAATCAAATCTGGGTTGCTTTGGTAAATTAAATATTGTTTGAAAAAAAATAATTTTTATAATATAGTTGGTCTAAACAACTTGTGCAATTGCAATGAATTCGTGGTAACGAAACAAAGTTGAAAATAAACAAAACCGTTCTCTGTCACAATTCAATTCAATTCAATTCAATTCAATATTTCTTTATTCATTGAAGCACAAAGTACATGAATAGTGTCATTCTCTTAAATGTTTTTATATTACAATGTTATATTCTATGGATACAAAGTTCTTAAAATCTAACATAAGTTTATACAAATTACAAATGAATGCTCCTTCTAAAAAATTTAAAGTTCATCAAGGGAATACAATACCTTGTTGATGAGAAATGTTTTAAGACCCCTCTTAAATTCGACCATGCTTTTTGCCGATTTAATTTCATTTGGAATTTTGTTGTAAAATTTGGAGCCGGTATAACTTGGTTTTTTACTGTAAAGTACTAATCTGTGGCGGTTTAGAGCAATGTTGGTTTTGTTTCTGGTATTGTAGTGGTGGTGTTCACCAGTTAACGCCAATTGAGAAAATCTGTTTTTAACATATAGAACTGTTTCATAGATGTACAATCCATATACTGTCATTATTTTTAATGATCTAAAATGCTCTTTTGAAGTTCTCGAGTCAAGGTCCAAAATAATTCTTATAGCTCGTTTTTGTAATTTTAGGATTGTTTCTAAGTTATTGATAGATGTAGCGCCATACAGAGATATTCCAAAAGAAATAACAGAATGTATGCACGAAAAGTATATTGATTTTAATGTTACTTGATCAAGAAGATTTTTTAATCTAGTTAATGCAAATAGACCAGATACCGTTTTTTTTATTACTTTGTTTGCGTGAGAATTCCAAGTTAAATTTTTGTCAATTTCAAATCCTAAGAATCTAATATTTTCTAATTCTTCAATAGGTTTCTGATTAATTTCTAGTGAAGGATTAATTGAAAGTCTTGTACACCAACCAACCAGATCATTAGTGTCCCCTGCGGTCACGGTAAATTAGTTGGATTGATAGCAAAGGTTTCCTACATTTACAGTGGAGTAGTGATCTTTCGCAATCATGGAGACATCTGGGCTTGCAGCGTAACAGTGAACACACCACGCAATTGCAGACGTATTATAATTATCTCCCACGAGTGCGGCAAAATTGTCACTTTCGATCGTGCAATCTTTACGGATGTTTTTGGTTATCTCGAGGAATACCAGTTTGACTAGAAAATCAAACCGCTTAACAGATTACGGGTAAAGTTCATAAAAAAAATTCCTTTAAGGCAGTGGCGGCTAGCCCATAAGGACTCTCGGACGCCGCCCTCCAACAATACATAAATAAATTACATTTTAATATTCTTCGGTTAAATTAAATTAAAATTACTTTAACGAGTACTTAAAACAATATACAATATAAATATATCAAATAATTGGATAATTCAATTCAGTAATGAGTTATTTTTGATTGTCGCTTGCTTAGTAAGGACGGTGCGGATGGCGGCCAGACCGTCCCAATC